ACTCTTGTTTTGTTTGGGGATTACACCCAGCCGTGCTCAGTGTGCCGGGCCACATGTGCCCTAACCACTGTACCATCTCCCAGCCCTGTCATACAAATGCTTATAAAAGAAATATTCTGGAGTCAGGGGGGTGATCCTAAGGGCTGGAGCATATGCTCTACATAAGGCCTGGTTTTATCTCTGTTGCCACATGACCCCCTGAGTACCATTGGGTATGATTAAAAACATATATGAATGTATAGATACATGCCCCATACACTCAATTCCAAATATTAAATGAAGTTGATTGGCTTCTACCAATGCTTTCTACTTTATAGCAACATATATGTTTTGTAACTTCTCAGTTGTGTATGACAGTAAGGAAATGCATTTTAAAAAAATGTCTTGCAAATATGTAATTCTCTGAATTGAGCTGATATTAAAATAACTTCTGGTAACACACTGTAGGTGTTCGTTTTCTTCACTTAACAAGAGTGGTGTTATTAATATTCCTTTATGATTTTCATTAAGCTGACTTACCCACTTTCTACAAATGAAAATCAAGTCAGTCATATAAGTGTTACCATTTTTCTTTTTCTTTTTTTCTCTTTAGGTCACACCTGATGATGCACAGGGGTTACTCCTGGCTCATGCACTCAGGAATTACTCCTGGCGGTGCTCAGGGGATCATATGGGATGCTGGGAATCGAACCTGGGTCGGCTGCGTGCAAGGCAAACGCCCTACTTGCTGTGCTGTCACTCCAGCCCCACCATTTTTCATCAAGACGATTGAGTCTTCAGTTTCCATGAAAAGTTAAATTTATGGTGGTACTAATATGGGTTAGTCTGTCGGCTAACAACATGCTAAAAGTAGATTCCTTCTTGAAATGATTGCAGATTGGTTTGTGAAAGTTTACCTTGCAAATTCATTTGTTGAATTGTTTTTGTTTGGGGACCACATCTGGTGGTGCTCATGACTTACTCCTGGTGGGACATAGGGGACAATATTTGGAACCAGGGATCAACCCCAGTTCGGCTATTTTGCAGGGCAACTGCCTTAATTCCTCTACTCTCTCTCCAGCCCCTGTTAAATTTACAATAGAAACTAGAGCAAAGGGGCTGGAGCAATGCACAGTGGTTAGGGCATTTGCCTTGCATGCGGCCAACCTGGGTTCGAGTCCCAGCATCCCATATGGTCCCCTGAGCACTGCCAGGAGTAATTCCTGAGTGTAGAGCCAGGAGTAGCCCCTGTGCATCACCAGGTGTGACCCAAAAAGCAAAAAAAAAAAAAAAAAGAAACTAGAGCAAAACTATGGCTGTCTGCCTTATGTGTGCTGAGAAGCTGGAGTACCTGCCCATGAGCAGGCTGGGACACAGTTGAGAGAAGTGCAGTAAGGAAGTGACCCCATCGCCTCCGTGCCCAGTTCCCAGTTCTGTGGCCAGGGTGTTTTCTTCCTTGGACGAAAACAGACCATGGCTTTTCTTCCTTCCTCCTAGTATTGCTGCTGGGCTGGTTAAGGGCTTCAGTTCCACTTGGGTGAAAGTGTAGGATAACATTGGCTTGTCCTTTCTCCCTTGCTACAGGGATCGGGTTACACCCATCACAGTGCTCCCGAGTCACTCCCATTCCTCTGTGCTTATCCGTAACTTCTCTATACTCTCTTCCCCAACCAGTTAATCAGCTTTTCCCCTAATGAGATTCTGGTTACTTGTAAGGTCAGATCCTTCTAGGATACCAAACTTGTAAGTTAATATTGCCTTTCTCCTCTCCTTATATTTTTTGAATAGTTTAAAGTAATGTCCTTTTTGCATGGACAAAGGAAGACAGTTAATATTATGCTTTTGTAACTTGGGATCTAATTGGTTTTGAATATTATTCACTCCCGGGCATCTGCTTTCTCGACTTAAGCCTCAGTTGCTCTTAGTTCCTAGCACCCCAAAAGCAGGGTCCCGACGAGGGACTGAATGGACCCAGGGCAAGCTGTGAGCTACTCTGGCATCAAAATGGGCAAGGCCAAAGTGCCACAATACTCAACTATAAGTTGAGAGCATTGTCATGGACAAATGCTGTTATTAACCAAAAGTAACAAGGAGATTAGGACCCTGCTAGGGTTAGGAAAGACTAATCTGGCCTGAGCACTGTAGTCTGAGATCGAGATGACCCCAGGAGAGCAATTTTATAAGCTTAATGTATCTCTTACTGTGTCTATACAAAATGATTAATATTATGAATGTTTATATGTTTGTTGGACAAGGAGAGGAGAAATACCCATGGGATTCCAGTCTTGGGTGGGTCGTCCTGCTGAATGAGAATCTGTCCTAGAAGCGGCTTTCCCTGAGGGAAGGATTTTACCCCTATTGGTTCTGACCACACCTATCTGTAAACCCCAACCCCTCATGCTTTGGGATTGAACTAGGTTGTAAGAGGAGTCTGGGGGATCCACAGAAGGAGAATGAGAGCGAGAAAGAGAATGAAGTAGGATCCAGAAGGAGAATGGAGTAGCATGGGGGAGGAAGAAAGAAGCAGGGGGAGAATCAGAGGAGAATGGAGAGGAAATTGGAATAAACTGCAACTGATACCAACCAGCTTGGCTCTCACGTTCCTTCCTGTGCCTGCCCATGCCATCGACCTCCCCAGGGTGGGGGTTGTGGGGGGGAGAGATGGGGGGAGAGAGAAGCAGCCGCACCAAGGCCCCATTCCGAGGCCCCGTTCCTGTTCATAATTTTATTCAGTAAACACACAGAAAGGGATGAAGAGAAGTTCCTTGAAGCAAATTGCAGCAACATTTTGCTCTGTGCAAATAAAAGGAAATCTGTGATGCCAGGATTAGGTAAATTGTCCCTTCCATGTGCTCCCCCTGGAGAGGCACTTCTGTATCGATACACAAGGGCTCATCTAGACCTCCCTGTGCCCCAGGGAGCATTACCAACCATGACGCTGACTTGCCATTTCAAGGAATTTAGTGTTTTCAGCTGAAACAGGATTCTAGGATTCTTTTGGAAAGTGTTTTTGTTCATGGGCCACAACTGGCTGTGCTCAGGGCATTCTCCTGGTGAGGCTTTAGGGAACCATATGTGGTGCTGGGTACTGAGCCCAGGTTGGCCGTGTGCAAGACAGTCTACTACCCCTTACTATCGCTCCAGTTCCCAGAAGTCTTCTAATGCCCGCTTTTTTGCAAGACAAATCCTTCAAAGTTATGGTAAATTACTTCATTTTAATTCTGCTAAACTGCTGCTCCCATACAAGGCCCAGAGAAATGGGACAGGTTCATCTGTTTGACTCTTGTTTCTTTTGGGTCAGATTTTTTTTTATTTGACGCAAGGTTATAACCACCTTGTTGCCAAATGAATTTATATTCCATAACAAGCTCCAGCTATAAAAAAAAGGAACCTGAATAAGTAATCCCTACTATTGTGTGAAAAAAAAAAAAACCAGCCTGTAACCCTCTCCTTTACAAAGTCAAAACCTTTTATATTAACATAAAGGTAAAGGTAAAGGTAAAGGCCCTCCCGTTGATCGTCGATTTGCTCGAGCGGGCCCAGTAACGTCTCCATTGGAGACTTTGTTGTTACTGTGTCTGGCATATCGAATACTCTCGGTAGCTTGCCGGGCTCTCCGAGAGGGGCGGAGGAATCGAACTCGGGTCGGTCATGTTGGCCGCGTGTAAGGCGAACGCCCTACCGCTGTGCTTGAAAAATTGTCTAATTGTCAATATTTAAAAAATCCCTTTCCAAGGCTGGAGAGACAGTACAATGGGTAAGGCATTTGATCGTATAGTTCAATCCCTGAGCACCACCACGTGTGGCCCCAAATCCAGGGGTCTGAGAGATGATGCTAGGGGTTAAGGTGTTTGCCTTGCATGCAATCAGCTCCCACTTTGATTTCTGGCCCTGCATATGGCATCCTAAGCACAACCAGGTGTGACTCACCCCCAAGGAAAAAAAAACATTAATACTTTCTTTTCTTCCTTTTTGGGTCACACCTGGCGATGCACAGGGGTTACTCCTGGCTTTGCACTCAGGAATTACTCCTGGCAGTGCTCAGGGGACCATATAGGATGATGGGAATCAAACTTGGGTCAGCCGCATGCAAGGCAAAAGCCTTATCCGCTTGTGCTATCGCTCCAGGCCCTGAACGGTAATACATTTGACTTGACTTGCCTTACAGGTCTTCTACTGTCCTATTTGAACTACTGGTGGAAAGTGTTGTATACAGTAGCAGCTGGTCGGGCACTTGCCTTGCAAGCAGCCGACCTGGGCTCAATCCCCAGTATCCCATATGGTCTCCCGAGTTCACAAGGAGTGATCCCTAAGCACAGAGCAAGAAGTAAAGCCTAAGCACAGCTGGGTGTGGCCCCAAAACAAAACAAAACAGTGCCATACATTAGTTTACTGTATTAGGACCGTAGCACTGTCCTCCCGTTGTTCATCGGCACCAGTAATGTCTCCAATGTGAGACTTGTTGTTACTGTTTTTGGCATATCGAATATGCCACGGGGAGCTTGCCAGGCTCTGCTGAGCGGGTGGTATACTCTCGGTAGCTGGCCGTGTTCTCTGAGAGAGATGGAGGAATCGAACCCAGGTCAGCCATGCGCAAGGCAAATTCCCTACCCGCTGTGCTATTGCTCTGGCTCAGTTTAATGTATTAAGGGAAAATATGCTAATAATGAAGACCTATGAGGAAAATGACTGACATTCATTTCTGTCTCAGCGGACAGTCCAAAGGCCCTGCACTGAGATCTGGTGCCCCAGGAGCTTTCTGTGCAATGCTGGCCACCTGCAGATCCACTAACAGCAGCAACAAGGTCAAGTGAGGCCCACGCAGGGTCATTTCCCCTCACAGTGCACTGGCCAGCACACAGGCTCCTGCAAGGGATACGGGGCAAGCAACCTGCATAGCTCATCTGCATTAGAAACTTGAAATTCATTCTATGGGGTATCAAGACCAACTCTTCTGAGTTTTCTCAAGGATTCTTTTACTTCATTCGCGCCTCCAAAACAAACAAAAAACATGACCTCTGTGAGTTTCCAAGGTGTGTTTTATTGGTGTCAAGCCAGACTGTGGTGATGTGACTGGTCTGTCAGCTCACGTAATTGAACTACACGGGAAGAAGAATTTACAGTTTAAGGAAAAAGCCTTTTCCTTATAAAGCAATAAAATACTGATCAGTCTTGGCAATTCACTTGACTACACAACTTTAGAGTACTGAAACAAAAATAGTTCTTTCATGTTTTACCAAATGAGTAAAAAGTCGGTAATAATTAAGCTTTTGAAAAAAAAAAAAGAAATTGGCAAAGTTGCAAAGCGGAGGAAGATATCTCAGTCATCTGTCTCTGCCAGAAAGGGAGAGAAGCCATGATCGTTTATACATCTCCTGATGGGCAGAGGAAATCGCAGGTCACCCCGGGCTCCAACCTGGTGCGACAGCAGCCACATAACCCGGCATACGGGCCACTGGAACCCACGTGCTCCTCTAGGTCTGCATTATGTCTAGTCATCCTTCATCTAACACATTAGAAAGTAACCCCAACACAAATCTTTAGAAGGTCAGAGCTATGAAACAAATACGTATAAAGCTATTTTTCTGTTTGTTTGAAATACACAGATCCTCAGTTTCCACTTTCTGGAAAAAGTCAGAGCCTGGATGGGTGCATCCTAGAAGCCACCTGACGGAGGGAGAGGGGGGCTTCATTTAGACACCCCCAGATGAATGAGAGCCATTATTGTGGTATAGCTATGAAACAGGTCGTCATCCTTCACCTCACTGCACTTCTTCAAGGTAAAGTTCCCGGTGACTATGCGATCGCAGCCAATTTCTCCGTTTCCAAAGAAGCCGAACAGAGGTACGCTGGGGAAGAACTTCCTGAAGGCGTCGGCCTCCACGTTATCCTTGTCCCGGTAATACTGGTAGCCCCTGCCCACACATGCAATCATGAAGCCGATGGTATTCTGCTCCGGGATGTTGGCAGCTTTGAGGCGCTGCATGGCAGCCTCCACCGTCTTCTGGTCATTGACGTCCTCGTTGAGAAGCACGGTGGCACTCTGGATTCGGTGGCCACTAAATGACAGTCCCACTACGCCAGTGGCATCGATATCCAGCGGATTCCTGGGAAGGGAACATAAATTCTGCTACGTGCCTTGCACAAAGCTGCCTGCAGGGGGCGTCCCGGCATTCAGTCACTGTCCCGGAATCTCTAGGCCTGGCCCCTTGGTTTCCCTGAGCACTACTCCCCAAATAAAGAAAATTCAGTTGAGAATGATTTATCAGTAACCTGTAACTCCAGAAATTTTAGCTTTTGTTTAGGCCATATTATTGGAAAAGAAAAAAAGTAACCCCTCTGATCCTAGAATTCAGCATTAATGTGAAGGTCAAAACTACATTTTTTTTAATTTGCATTGGCTTATTTTTATTTATTTTTTGCTTTTTGGGTCACACCTGGCGATGCACAGGGGTTACTCCTGGCTTTGCACCCAGAGTTACTCCTGGCGGTGCTCAGGGGACCATATGGGATGCTGGGAATCGAACCCGGGTTGGCCGCGTGCAAGGCAAACGCCCTACCCGCTGTGCTATCTTTCCAGCCCCGCGTTGGCTGATTCTGGCTTTTTAAATGTTTCATCAACAAATTTAGAAAATGTAACTAGTACAGTGGTTTTCAGTCACTGGCTCAGACAAAAACAAAAACAAAAACAACTACCCACCAGGGCCTACGCAAACATGACAGTGGGTAGGGCGCTTGTATTGCACATGGCCAACCCGGTTCAATTCCCAGCACCCCATATGGTTCCCTGAGCCTGCCAGGAGTGATCCCTGACCACCACCAGGTATGGCCATAAACGGCTCTAGGGCATGCCCGTGGTAAGAAAAACAAGCAAGAAGCTGACACTTCTATCAAGTTCACAACCGGTGGTTCTAGTCTCTCCCTCTCTTCCTCTCTCTCCCCGTTCTCCTCTTCCCCCTTGTCCTCCCCTCTTTTTCTCCCTCCCTCTCCTTCTCAGCACACAGGCAAATATTAGCATTGTTAAGAAACTTAGGGATGGGGAACCCTCGTTTTCCTTTTTAAAAAAAATTATGTGAATATTTTTAAAAGTCATGTGAATATTTGTGTTCTATCTTCAATTAGCTCAAAGTCAAAACACTACACTTTCAAGCAAAATTGAAAGGGAGTGGCCAGCAGCACCAAAAGCAAAAAATGAGGCAAGGGTGAGGACGTAAACTTCAAGACAAGGTGTACATAGTGCATATTTTTTAAAAAATATTTGTTCCTTGGACGACACCCAGTGGTGCTCAGAACTTACTTCTGGCTTTGCACTCAGGTTTAACTCCTGGTGGTGCTCAAGGGACCACATAAGATGCCGGAGATGAAACAGGGTCAGCTGCGTGCAAGGCAAGAGCCCTACCTGCCGCACTATCACTCTGGCCCCAGGGTGTACACTTTTATACGCAAAGGAAGTGGCTTTAGGAACTAATGAAAGATCACAGACTCTGAGCTTAAAAAGCCTTGAAAAGATTGAACAGAATTTTCAAAAATGGGCATCATATAATACCAGCAGGCCAGCAAGGTGCTCCCCAGAAGGAAGGCCCCGTGGCCCCTGGAGTGGAGCCGTGGCCCAGGGAACAGTAGTCCCCCCACCTCGAGAAGATGCCACAGCAAATGGCAAACTACATCTCACAGTGTGGTTCGCTCCAGGGGAGGAAGCAGTAGGTGTTCAGGGTCACGCAGCGCAGTGCTGCTGTGGGGATGCTTGGTCGATGCTGCTGACCTTCTCAGGAAAGCCTGACCCCAGCTAGGTCCAGATACAATTCATTATCCAACCGGAAGGCTCTGTTTACTCCCAAAACGGGAAAGCCACTGACGTGGCGGTGCCGTGGAAACATTACTTTGGGGGCTGCAAAGGGAACACAAGCGCGGGCGCAGTCGGAAGGGCAAGACCTACTGTTCAGAGGTCAGGGACACCAGGTTGTCCACCTGGCCTCCGGCCAAGATGACGTTCATGTCGCTGAAGGTGCTGATGACGCGCTGCAGGTAATTGCTGGCTCCCACCCGGCAGCAGTTGTAGCCGAAGACCAGGACCACGCGCAGCTCGGGGTTGTCCAGAAGGCCTGTGGGGAGTGGAGGGGCAGTGAAACAGGCCGGTCCTGCCACTGGCAGTGCTCCAGCCCGGAAACGCTACCACCAGGGGAGCCCCAGTAACGCCTGAGCTGAAAGGCAACACCGTTCGGTATGCGACACAACCACTTCCTCAAGTGGCCGAGACACAAATAAGGAAGCAGGCGTGTGCCTGGGAGGTGGCTGGAACACTGGGTCCCCGCACGTCCTGCGTGTAGCATTTCTCGGGGGAAGCAGGTCACAAGTGGGAGGGTTAAGGAAGCCTGGACCGGACATCGAGTGTGGTCAGCAGGCAAGGACACAGCCCTGGCCACGACTCAACACCGGCCTGGCCTGGGCCTAACTCCCAAGGTACCACTGACTCAGCCCAAGAAGCTGGCTTAAAGGGGGGGGGGGGGTGGGGGGGGCAAAGTAGGGAAGGGCTGACCTTCAGGCAGGGCTGTGGGAGGGACCTGTGGGTGCCCGAGAGAGGAGAGTGACCGAGAAGGACATGTCCACTTCAAAGTTCAGGAACTCAGCTCAGCAGCCGAGAGCCCCTCCTCAGAGACCAAGCCTAATGCTGGCAGGGCCAACCTGTTCTCAACTAGAAAGCTAGAGGGTGGAGTCTGGGCCACTGCAAACCAGTCTTAATAGCAGCACCACCCCCTCCTCCCTGTCAGCTCCCACTCCCTTTCAAGCTACCCTATGGGAAACACCCCCCACCCCCACACACACACACCACCATCACTACCACCACCACCACTTTCACCCCTTGGTTAGTTTGTTCTTTCTTTTGCATTTGAAGGGGACTTGCTCAAGCCATCTCAAGTTGCACACCTGCCATCTTCTGTCCAAATGATCACAAATGTTCCTTTTGCTGCAACATAATTACTTAAAAAAAATTTTTGGGGGGGGTTCTGGGGTCACACCCAGAGACGCGCAGGGGTCACTCCTGGATCTGCACTCAGGAATTACTCCTGGTGGTGCACAGGGCACCGTAAGGGATGCTGGGGGATAGAACCCAAGTCAGCCATGTGCAAGGCAAACACCCCCACCCCCTCACCTTGCTATGCTATCGCTCTGGCCCAATTTCTCATTCCCACTGGGCTCAGGACCAGTGTGAATAAGGAAGGCTTATCCCCAGAGGCTGGTGGATCTGTGCATCCGGGGTCACCACTGAGCATGTTTTATTCCAACAATCTTTTATAAAGAGCTAAACCCAAGTCAGGTGACCAACAGGTGCGGATAAGAACCCTTACCACTGATTCACGGTCTGAGTGCTGTAACAGCTCTCAGAGCGCAGACGCCACGCGGTACCTTAACCCTTCAAAGTCACCCTCCTCTGCTATCGCCTCCAGCCATGCTTCCTGTCTCAGGATCCTGGCACTGCCAGCAGACAGATACCTCTTTACTTTAGACCTTTCCTGAACAACCACATTCACAGCTAACGCCGGTGAGTCTACAGTTTTTTGTGGTATTTATTACCACGCATTATGCATTACCGACCCAGATTTGATCCCCTAAGCATGGTACCCCATGCCCCCTGAGTCAGTCAGGAATGATCTCTGAGCACAGGGCTAGGAGTCAGCTCTTGAGTGCTGCTGGGTGTGGTCCCAAACCAAAAACAAAACAAAACAAGTACCCCAAAGATAATAAAACATTCAGAGGAAATCCTTCAAACTTCAGATTAAATACAATCACACTCGTCAATGGATTATGAAAGACCCCCTCCCTGGTTCTCTCAGACCTTAATAAGTAAAATTATTTTTATTCAGAGACCACTCCTGGTGGGGCTGAGGGGACCATATGTGGTGCTGGGGATCAAACCAAGTCTGCTACATTCAAGGTAGGTGTTCTACACACTGTACTCTCGCTCTGGCCACTAAGTAAAATAATTTTTAAAGTAAACTAATGCTCCCCAAAAGATACTGCACTGATTTTGTTAATCGCTCATTTGAATTACCCACCTCTCCTCCAACATGTGAGCTTGATTCAGAATCTTTCAAATGTAGAAACAAAATCAATCCGCAACATGAGTGCTGCATAGTAAATACCAGGAACTTACCTACTTCCGTAAGTTGACGCCTATCTAACGTTAGCTTCTTTGGATCCTTAATAAAGTGGAAGGGTCGTATTTTCACTCCTTCAGTTTGAGGGAACAACAGAGCAAAGCCAGATTCTCCAATTTCTATTTCCTGAGGTCGATTGCTACCTGATCCCATTGGAGTCACTGTTGGGGGAAATAACAGGTAAAATCGTCATGAACAGATTCAATAAAACTGATGCAACCAAATGGCAATTCTGTAAATTATTAGCTTCACCTGGCTAGAAAACTGATTTAGCCCTGATAAAACTCAAGCTCACAGGCAATCGGAGTACAAGCATTTCAACAGTCTTAGGGGTACAGTGTTGTGACGTCTACAACTTCTTTTCAAACTGTTCCAAAAGAAATATTTTTAGAAGTGCAAAATAGCAAATGTTGCAGAACTTTTCAACGGGTGAACCTAAATGAAGAATATGAGTGTATATTATACACGTCTATTATTCTTTCAACTTCTGCCTAGGCTTGAGGGTTTTCTAAATAAAAAGTTGGGGAATATTAAGTACACAGTAACTCTACCGTCTCAGCGAGAAACTCCATACAAACAAGACACCCCTGGCCTCCAGGAAGAGCACCCAGAGCAGAAAAGCAGGGTGACATTTCCCCAGGGTCCTGCACCATGTGGGTAGCTGGGCCTGGCAGCTCTGCTGACTGCCATGTCCGTCAACAGATGCAGTGTCCGGCCACACCTGAGTCAGCTATGGGTAAGCACCACTAAAAGGGATGTGTCCCTCCACAAACACCAGTGATGCCCAGGGAGCACCACAGCCCCATCCAAGCTGGCCCTGAAACTGAAGGAACACAAACCTTGGGGAGTACCACAGACTGATGTGTCGGCACAACATACTGCCGTGGGCAACCCACAAGCAGCAGAGTGAAAGCCAAGAGTGCCACAGCCATCTCCCTGGCCCTGACAAGATCCCGAGCTGCCGCCCACGAACGGCTCCTCCGGCTGCTTATTGAGCTCCTGAATGGCCTTGATCCCAAAGGCACACAAACCAATCTCGGAACCCGGCAGCTTTTGGCAGAAATGTGTCCGGACCGTGCGTTAAGCTATGGTGCCATGCCACCCCAGGTGGGAAAGGATCTTGTCCCTTCCACCTTTTTCCCCCGGTGGCCGCCACCTTTCAGAGCCTATTGGACAGCCAGGTACAAGCCTGCAGTGACGAGACACACAGGGCCTCATGGGATGGGGGGGTGGAACCAGCCCTTCTCCTCCGCCTTGACAAGACCCCAAGTTGCCGCCCATGAACGGCTCAGCTCCTCCAGCTGCTTTATCGAGCTCCTGAATGGCCATGATCAGAGAGGCACACAAACCAATCTCAGAACCCAGTGGCTTTGGGCAGAAATCCCTCCAGACTTAATTACTAAAATATCGGAAATCCAAAACCACGCAGCCGCTACTGCAGCCACACGACATCATAAGCTCTTCATAGTCAGCAACAGAAAACTAATTATCTAATGATGTCTTTTCGGCAGGTCTGATTGTTGGAAGAAAACTCCAAATAATAATGGTGGGACTTTTTTCGAAATACTGAATGTAATCAAAGTAGAGAGAGAGTAAAGCAGAAATAATCTACCACACAGGCAGGGGGAGGGGTGGGATGGGGGCATATCGGGGTTCTTGGTGGTGGAAAATGTGCACTGGTGAAGGGATGGGTGAGCCAGGAGTAACCCCTGAGCATCCCCAGGTGTGACCCAAAAAGCAAAAAAAAAAAAAAAAAAAAAAATCTTGTCATTTGTGACAAAGTACATGGAACTTGAAGGAATTAATCTTAAACCAGAAGCAGAAAGACAAATCCAGGATAATTTCCTTTGTATGTTGATCACAGAACTGAGGTTGGCAGAGAAGAAAAGAGGCTGAAGGCAAATGTGATGGAAGGCAAAAGTGGTATGCTGGTGGTGGGGCACAGAGATTACTCGGGCTCTGCACTCAGGAATTACTCCTGGCAGTGCTCAGGAGACTATATGGGATGCTGGGAACCGAACCCGGGTGGGCCGCATGCAAGGCTAATGCCCTACCCACTGTGTTATCGCTCCAGCTCCATAACCCACATTTTAAAAAAACCAGTAAAGGCCATGAATACCTCACAGAATCAGATATGCAAACAGTGGAAAAGGTGCACAATGCAATTACCCATTAGACTAATTCAAATAACAACAATTATAGAGGGCCTCTCCATACACGCCAGAACGGCCCAAGTTAAAAGCTCCCAGCAATGAGGCGACCAGAGCGACTGTGACATGACCGGGTATGACTCCGGAAAACACGTTAGCAGCTTCCCGTGAAGCCAGCATACTCCAACGCTACAGCCTAACGCTTCTTTTTCTTGGGAATTAATTGCCCAAGATGAGGTAACCTATATCCACGAAAAGCTTTCCTAACAGCTTCATTCCTGATAGCCAGAAGCTTCAACCCACCCAAATCTTCATTAGAAGGAGAACAGCGGGCTGGGGAGATGGTTCAGCTGGCTCAGAACAGGCTTTCCACGGAGAAGGCCCAGGTTCAAACCCTGGCACTACCAGAAATGATCCCTGGGCATAGTCATTAAGGAGTCTCCGAGCACTCTCAAAAGCAGTCAAAAATCTGAGGAAGAGAGACCAGGGGTTGGTGGTACAGTGGGGGAAGAGGTGATGGCTGTACAGGTGAGCCTAGATATAGGGGAGATGAGAAACCAAGCAGAGGGGGGGCAGAGGGGACCAAGGAAACACAAACCCTTGCTAAGGAGGCTGGAATGGTCCTCACTCTCGACATAAGTTCAGAGAGAACTTGGGGAAACGGAGGCACAAAGTCAAAACTGCTTCAGAGTAAGGCTCCAGGCAGACTCCTACCCCTCCAGTGGGCTCATGAAGAAAGGAAGTTATTCCCCGGGTCTGCCCTCCCGCTCCACCAATCAAAGTTTTATTAAGAATATTCAGGTTTTGGGGAAGCCACTACCGGGGCTCTGGAGCGGAGGGGGCATGTTAAGGAAATGGGAGGAGGGCCCCAGGATGTAGCAGCTGTGCAGGTGTGAGGCGGGGACATGGATCCCTGGCAATGCCCAGGACACTGAGCGTGATCCCTGCGGTACTGCTGACAGTGGTCCCCGCACCACAACAAAGCAGGGAGATCTCCAGCACATTCCCACTAAGTGCATGCGAGCAGCATAACTAAAGTGTGTGTGGGGGGAGTGGGTGGGGTGGGCTGGAGACGGCACAGTACAGGCCGCTGGCACTGCACACAGCCAACCCGGGATCGATCCCTAGAAGTCAGGGGTGATTCCCAAACAGAGCCAGGAACAAATCCTGAGCACTTCTGGGTGTGGTAAAAAAAAAAAAATCCTAAAACAAAAGAAACCAAGGAAGGGAACCAAAAAGGTGCAAACTATCAAAGCCATGACTCTTTCTAGATAGCCAGAATTTTCTCTGACCACTCAAGGAAATTCAAAAGTTCAGACAACCTTGATCTCTATTACTTTTTTATATTCTAGCTGGTGACGGGGAGAGAGAGGAGTGGAAGGGACGGGCTGAGGCAGCCCCATCAAGCAGGTCTTGGAATTGTCTGAAGCACATTGTACAAACTTGCCTTCAGATCAAGTCCCTTGGTGAAGACTAAAACTGCCAATTATTGAGCACTACTGGGTGGGACTCAGAAGGGCTCCCACTTACTGCTCGTCTCTTTCCCAAATATCCCACACGTGGTAACCCATTTAATTCCACCACTGTCCTAGGAAGGAGCTGTTGGTCAATCATGCCCATTTCAGATTGGGAGAAAGAGGTCCCGTGACTTGCCCAAAGACACAGATACTATGCAACACTGCTGGAATTCTAGCCGGATGTTGGCACCACCGCTTCCTGACTGCCTCAACAGAACGTCTTCCATGCTAGCTCTACAAAAGGATCAAAAGTATTAAAAACAAGGGGATAGCACAGCAGGTAGGGCGTTTGCCTTGCACGCAGCCAACATGGCTGCCCCAGGTTCGATTCCCAGCATCCCATATGGTCCCCTGAGCACCGCCAGGAGTAATTCCTGAGTTCATGAGCCAGGAGTAACCCCTGAGCATTGCCGGGTGTGACCCAAAAAGAAAAAAAAAACAAAAAACTAAAAACAGGACCAGGTGTGGGCCGGAGAGATAGTGTAGGAGGTGAGCGGCTTCCCTGGTCTATGGTCCAACCCAGTTCATTTCCCAGCACTGCATATGGTCTCCTGAGCACTTCCAGGAGTGACCCCTCAGCAAAGAGCAAGGAGCAACCCCTGAGTACAACAGTATGGCCCAAGTCCCATGCCCCAACCCCTTAAGAAAGAAAACGGGACTGGGGATGTGGTTCAATGGTAAAACAATGCCATTATATGCAGGGCACCTGAGGTCAATCCCAGCACTTACAAAAAATAAAGGTTAAAAAAAAAAGTTCACTAGCAGCAATGCAGCTCTCAAACGCAGAAAAGGATACCGCTTCATGCTATAAACCTCAAACAGAAGTGGATTAAAGCGTCCTAGTCCTGCCCCCACCCAGACCATCACTGCCAGGGCTGAACAGTGTTCGCTATGCTACTGCTTTCTAACTCGGAGAGGCAGAGCGCAATCTTTGTCCTCTTATGAATGAGCAGTTCCTGGCATGCCATGCGTTGTGTTAGACTTAGCTAGAGGGCCGTGAGGCTTGGAATATAAGCACCACAACCTCAGCACTGTTAATGGGAAGGAAATATATCACGGCAATTATGACAATTACACACAGAATTTATAAAAGCAGGGGTGGGAAATGGCTGGAAGGGCTGGAGGGAGTTCAGACTTTTGCATGTAGCAATCCTGGGTTCAATTCCCACTACTGCATGGTCCCCCAAGTACTGTGCCAGGCGGTAACCTTCACCCCTCAGAAAAATACACATATTTCTAATGTGCTTTTCAATTCAAGTAATTCACCCATCTCTAAGGTGCCAAGACATTCAAGGCAGGAAATCATCATGTTGGTATTTACTCTCACCTACGATTCCTGGGGTCACGATTCCAAGCACCTGGCATTGCTTCGGAAATAGTTTCTCAAGGGCAAATGCTGTTTCCATAGTAGTTCTCTTCCTTGCTGTAAAAATACAGTTGCAGAATCATTAAACATCATCCATCTGTCATTTAATGCCACCCACATTACAAATCTGACGTGGGAAAAAAAAGTACTGGATTAAGTTTAAGTCATTTTGCCGAAGAACCACTTAAAAATTGTGATGAAAACAAACATTTGCCCCAAGTCCAGCTTTGTTGCTTAAATTCTAAATCTGACCTTTAGCATCACCAGTTTGCTTTTCCAGTTGTTTCATGTTGCTTCTGCCCCCAAGTGACATCAAATTAACAGAAGTAAGTTTACACTTACTATCCTGTCAGCAGGTAGGGCATTCGCCTTACAAGCGGCCAACATGGCCGACCCGAGTTCGATTCCTCCGCCCCTCTCGGAGAGCCCGGCAAGCTATTTGATATGCCAGACACAGTAACAACAAAGTCTCCAATGGAGATGTTACTGGGCCTGCTCGAGCAAATCGACAATCAACGGGAGGGCTTTTACCTTTACCTTATCCTGTCCTTTATCAGTATAGTGTTTTGGTTTTGGGGCCACACCTAGGTTGCTCTGGCCATGCCCTTGGCTCTGAGCCCAGGGATCATGCCTGGCAGTGCTCAGGGGATCATATGTGTGCTAGAGTTCAAACCCAGGACAAGCATGTGCGACGCAAGTGTCTTACACACTATACTATCTCTCTGGCCCAGTATGATGACTTTTTTTGACTGTGTAAATGGCCTAATCAGATGATGCCAAGTCTAACTCTACGCTACACTGTGCTACCCTGGGATATTCAGTGTCTCTTCTAGGCAAAAGAATACACAATATATCTCCAGGTAAGAGAGGTGAATCCCTATCTATCACACAACACAGTGAAAGCTAAATATTAGATTTTCAAAATTCTACTCTTAGAGAGGCCAGAGCAATAGCACAGTGGGTAGGGAGCTTGCCTTGCACGTGGCCAACCCAGGTTCGATCCCCAGTGTCCCATATAATTCTCTGACTCTACCAGAAGTGCTCCCTAAGTGCAGAGCCAGGAGTAAGCCCTGAGCACAGCCAGGTATTCTCCCTGCTGACCACTGACCCCAAAGAAAATCTATTAGAAGAGTAATAATATCCAAGAACCAGAGAGAGAGCACAGTGGGTAAGAAACTTGCCTTGCAAGTCACTAACCAGGTTTGAACCCCAACACCCCAAACGGTTCCTGGAGTACCACTAGGAGTAAGCCCTGAGCATAGCCAGGTGTAACAAAATAACAGTATCCTTAGTAATAAGATAGGGAAGATAAAAGTATTTCCAAATGTGGGGCTGGAGTGATAGCACAGCGAGTAGGATGTTTGCCTTGCACACGGGCAACCCGGGTTCCATTCCCAGCATCCCATATGGTCCCCCGAGCACCACAAGGAGTAACTGCTGAGTGCAGAGCCAGGAGTAACCCCTGTGCATCGTCGGTGTGACCCAAAAACAAACAAACAAAAAAGAAAAAGTATTTCCAAATGAGAAAAGCATCTGTCTAAAAAGTTGATTTCAATTTACTATGAAGTTTAGAAATATTCATTGACGCAAAAAAGGCTCCTTGGAGACCATCTATTCATGCATTCTTTGAGAAGCAGGCCCAGAACCTCAGCTCAGTAACTCTCAGGATTTAACTACACACAGAAGGTACAGGAGATTCACAGACATAGCACCAGGGTTGGAAGTACAGGCCTCGCATAAACCTGACATCCCATGCACAAGATCTTCAGCATCACTTGTTCCTGAGTACCACTGGGTCCGCCATGGTGGTCCCTGGGCAACACCACATCCTCAGGCTCCAGCACTAGACTGTCAGCCCAGGCCCCTGAGCACCACTTGGGAGAAATCACCCACAACAATAACAAAAGGCACCGAAGAAAAAAATTTTTTTAAATTCTTTCGATATTCACCTCTCTTGTGACCACGACATTCTTCCAGACTAATGAAGGTCTCTGAATCTGCCATATAGAGAACTGTTCGTGGTAAGATGCGAACATTCTACAGAGAGAAAAAACAGGATCAGGGTCAGCTGTGTACAAGGCAAGCAACCTACCCCCTGTACTATCTCTCCAACCCACAATTACCCAATATTTCAGATGAAACTCATTCCAGCCTGACTCCAGTAATTGCCACAGAACCCTCACTACTGGGGCGGGAGCGATAGTTAACAGTGTGCAAGGCATTTGCCTTGCCTGCAAACAACCAGGTTTGATCCTCAGCACCCCTTATGGTCCCCTGAACCCACCAGGAGTGATCTCTGTGTACAGAGCCAGGAGTAAGCCGTGAGTACTGCCAGGTATAGCCCAAATCCCACCTTCCACCCACCACAAAAGCTTAAAAAAAATCTTTACTACCCCAGTGGAGTACATTTACTGAAATGCCATCCCAGAACCACTGAAACCAAGAAATGGGATAGATGGCATGCCTTCACAGCTCAGAGAAGGCCACAAGAGCACAGCATCAGCTCTGTACCGGTCTTGCCCCCAAACAAGATCCGATCTAAAAAACATCAGATCTGGCCAAACAGTCTACAGATTCCTGGCCTGTAACTCCCATATATGACAAGACTGGGAAAGTCACGGGAGCTTGAGAAACTGATGAAATTAAACCCACGCGTCTACACTGAATCTTATTGCTAAGAAGGACAGATCTTCGTGGGACAAGAGGCACAAATCTGCAGGGAACTTGGGGACTGACTGAGAGAATTACACATGAGATTTATTTCTTGACTTGGAAGGCTGTGCTGCAGTTATAAAGTCGTTTGTATGTCAGGCACACTACTAAGGAGCTTTTAAGAAATAAACAAACAGATTTCCTTTTGTCCCACCGTCCAGCGAGATCCCAGGGCATCGCTGTCACCTGCTGGCAAGGGGTGACACAACTCAAGACTACACCCAAGTGCTGCCCTGCCTTGGAAATGCGGGCAGAGAGGTCACGATCAAGATCACGACCATCCTGTTGTTCTGGATTGCCTCGAGCAGGCCCCAGCAACGTCTCCTTCGCCCTACCCTGAGATTTTTCAAAAAGTGCCCCACTCGAGGCTCTTCCTGGGCCTGCAGAATGAGACCCATCACCGCTGCTGGTATTCGGCATCTGGGCACGCCACGGGGAGTTTGCCAGGCTCTCCGGGGTGCGAAGCTCTGGATGCTTAAGTAGCGCCCACCCGCCTTTTTTCTTTTCTCAACTCCTGCAGACTGCACCCACCCCCGCCAACGAGGCCCCTTCTTACTTGCCTCCAGCTCTTCTGCGAGCGCGCGGAGCAGGCAGTGCTGCTCCCGGCGTCCGGCCTCGGCCGAGCCCGCGGAGATCCAGGTCACGCTCCGGTGGGTCCGCAGCACCCGGCGCACACACTCCCTCCACAGGCGGCACACGCTGGGGCGGACGCACAGGGGTTGCCGCTCGCCCCCGCCCCCTCGCCCGCGGACCCGGCCCCTACCCACTCCGGCGCGGCTGCAGGGGACGCGCGCCAGAGCCCAGCGCCCGGGTCCGGCGTCGGGGAGGGCCGGGGCAGAGCACTCGGCGGGGCGATCCCGCCCGAGGAGGGTGGGCCGGGTGCAGGCGTGGGATGGGCTGCGCCCGGGGGAAGGGCGCGGGGGCTGCGCGGGGTCCCGAGAGCGCCCGCCCACCCCGCCCGGCGAGCCCCGCGAAGCCGCCCGCCTCCTCCCTTCTCACCCGGCCACCCGCAGCAAGGCCTTGGCGGGCAGGAAGGCGAGGACACGCTCCACCACCTCCGCCAGGTTACTCAGCACGAAGGTGCCCCGGGGGTCCGCGGGGGCGCCGCCGCCGCCCGCCCGCTCCATTCCGCACCCACGGCCGGGCAGGCGGCACCGCGGCTCGCAGGGGCGGGCTAGGCCGGCCCGGTCGCAGCCGGCGCTCACTGAGCAGGCGCGCGCGCCGCTTCCGGCCGGAGGCGGGCCTAGGGCGGGCGCGCCCACGTGACTCGGGCCCGGCGCTGGTCCCCCGGGCTCGCGCGCGGCTTCCCAGGACGCCCCATCACCTACCCCGCAGCGGGTGGGGGCCTGTCCTGCTGTCCAGAGCCCACTTCCAGTGCCGCTCGGGGCAGTGGCGGTGCTCAAGTTTTTTGCTAGTCTACATCCTTTTTCTTCAAGAGTTAAAGCAGAGCCCAGTTAATATTTACCGGTCTTGGTAGTCCAAGCGCCTGTTACATAACCTAAGCCCACTATTTGGACGGACACTTACCTGCCTACAAAAAGCGGGGCGTGGGGGAAGAGGGTGCCAGGGGGAGGGCCTGGCAGAAGCACAGCTGGAAGGGTGCTTGCTTTGTACATGCCGACCTGGGTTCAGTCCTCGACACCACATATGGTCCCCTGAATCCTGCCAGGAGAGATCCCTAAGCAGTGGCAGGAGTAAGCCCTGAGCACCGCTGGGTGAGGCCGCCAAACAAAAGAACACGGAGAGAGCTCAAATGAAAGCCTTAACATGTGGGAGACTGGGGCTGGCTCCCAAACACCTCCAGGGAGTGACCCAAAGCACTGCACTGCCTGAAATTGTCCCCCCAAACAAAATACAAGTTCGAGGTGTGTATCAAGTATATGTGCACGACCCTGAGTTCAGTTAGGCAGATGCAGGAAGTGCCTCTACCTACCCCCTCCCAATTGCTGGGTACTGGCCCCTATTAAAAAATCTCAAAGCACTGGGGGCCCGAACGGATAGTACAAGGGGGAGGGCGTTTGCCTTGCACATGGCTAACACGGGTTTGATTCCCAGCATCCCATATGGTCCCCCGAGTACCACCAGGAGTGATTCCTGAGTGCAGAGCCAGGAGAAAGCCCTGAGCATCGCTGGATGAGGGCCAAAAAGAAAAAATAATCTCAAAGCATTTAAGTAATGTATATGGAAAATGTTGCTTCATTCAATACTTTGTGAATGTGGTTGGCTCATTTAGCCTTCACATTCTGCACATGTAAAATGGCACAGAACACCCACCATTACAATGTGAAAGCACACCCCAAACTGCACTAGTCCTAGCCCAGAAACAGATTCATCTGAAACTACAAAGCCTGGCGAAATCTGGGTCCTCACCGGAGTCTCTTCAAGAGTTTTCAGTTTTTCTGTAATTTTGATGCACACCTCTGGCAGAAAACCACCACCTTTTGACCAGATAGACCCTAATCAAAGGAATATAAGTACAGATGACAATGGTACACAGGTGACTAACATTTCCTTCCTCCAGCTGGAGTGCCCAGCCCTTGAAAGTTGACTTGATTGGTTATGGATTCTCAAAGTGAGCAATAGTGCCCAGAGGGCACTGGAATGACCCAGGGGCCATAGAAAGCCTTCCTGAAAATTGTTGGGTGTTGCGCACACTGTTATATTTGGTAGATTTTCCAGTGTGTGTGTGTGTGGGGGGGGGTGACCTTTTTTTCCCCCCCAGAAAAGAGGAGGGAGGCCAAGTAAGTTTGGGAATCTCTGATCTAAAATAATAGGTCTCAAACATTTTGACTTAGACAACTGCTTTTACAAATTTAAACACTGACATCCCAAGAGACTGTTTATGTGGGTTTTTAATTACCATATGAAAAGTTAAAACACTTTGAGTCATTTAAAAATAAGTCAATTACACAGTTACAAAATAACATTTTTATTAAAAAAATAACTTTCCCACCCCAAAAGAGTGTCATTCTTTAACATTTTGCAAACCTCTAATATCTGTCTCAACAGAAGACAGCTGGATCTGCTTCTGAATTCAATCTATTTTATCAAATCAGACTCTGAAAACTTCAACTGTCTAACAGTTTTTTTGTATATTGAAAGCAGATTTGACAAGGATCTTAGAGGGTCACCAGAGTACTTCCAAAAACATACACTGAGAGCCACTGGTCCAAATTAATCATGATTTCACTTTGTAGGAGTTATCATTTTAGAACTAGACATAGGTTACAGTTCTAACCTTAGGGGAAAAAGTGAGGGTCGGTACAGCTGATAGGAGATGTTGAGTGAAGAGTGTTTCTAAGACATCCTCACCTCCTCAAAAGACACTAGAACACAGGATCAGTATCAACTTCTGGAGTGAGTAAGGTAGCTGCATATGTAGAAATAATACCCAGACCAAAGATGAGATCAACAGAAAAATCTCAGAAGCAAAGCACAGAGTAGTCCTAACTCACGGACTTCCCATATGTGAGACAAACTGACAATTATTCATAAAGATACTAGGGGTACGCTAAGGAGGGAGCAAATTATCTTAACAGCAAGAGTTTAGGGGCTGCCGTGAAGAAAGTAGCATCTGAACTTCTATTAAAAATGACTGGAGCAACAGCACAGCAGGTAGGGTGTTTGCCTTGCTGACCTGGGTTTGATTCTCAGCATCCCAATATGGTCTCCTGAGCACACCAGGAGTAATTCCGAAGTGCATGAGCCAGGAGTACCCTGTGCATCGCCGGGTGTGACCCAAAACAATAACAAATGGAAAAAAATACTGTGGGTGAGAGAAAAGGTTATGGAAAACTGATTACACCTGTCTGGAAATACCATTTCTCTCTCCTGTTAAAATCAATCTGCTTCTCTTCCCTCAAGCCTCTCTTCACCAGGTCCCACCACATACAATCCTATTCCAGAAATTACACACACCTACAGTAGATAATCTCTTAGGAGGGAAAAGTGACAACTGGTTCTTTATTCATAAACTTGATGCAAGTTTACAAAATTTACTGTATAGTGCCAAACCTGCAATTAAAAATAAAATTAAAAAGGACAAAAACATGCCAAATGAGTAGCTGTCAATCTGCTATTCATCAGGGTTATTAAAGAATTCAAAAATATAGTCAAGATTTAGCCCTAGATTTTCTGCCTTGCCACTTGTTATCTGAGGTTGGTAATCAAGACTTTATACAAAGGTAACCAAGTGAACAAGGATGCCAAAAAGTTTTTCTACTGTCCTCTTTACCAAAGTCTGAAAAAGAACTTAAGCACATACTCATGACAAGTCTCTCAGATATGGTCTACAAAGTTAAATACTGTACCTTAAGGCAAACATGAAAGAAACATTTTTGAACTTTTTGTGCAGAAAAAAATGTGTTGGGTTTCTTTTTAAAAGTGCATAATAATTCAAATTACTTTTGAATCAAAGTTGGGTGTATTAAAAAATCTATTATCAACCATAACAGGACTGATTCAGGTAAGCAATAAAATGCAGAGTACATTGATTTGAATCAGATTTTATAAAAATTTACATATGTGGAGTTCCTGTTAATCTTTCATTATAAAAGCTGTTATTGTAACCATTGCAAATATTTTAAGAGCTTCCAAATCACATAATTTTTGTACTTAACTGGGCAGTTTTTGCTCAAGAAGTCCTTGTGCCAATTACTTCAGTTTATTAGTTTACAAATGATTGCAACATCCCATTAATAAAATGGAAGCATAAAATGACTTAGTATTTTAAGGAACTTCCCAAGCTTTATGTTGCAGGTTCTTCAAAAGAAATACTGAACCAATCAACAGCAGAGTCCAGCAAGACTTTGATGCCCCAGTGGAAATGACTACTTACAAGCCTTAATTGGCTCAGCCTTCACTTTGTCTAAAAAGTACAATACAATTTAGAGGGTCTATTCCAGAAATTGGTCATTTTTTTCAAGTAGTCACTAAAGAAAAAAAAATGTATTTAACAATCTAGTGAGCAGAGTTTCCTGTCATTATCTTGGCAATATCATAAAATGATCTGAACTTAACATTTTACTGTGATTTAGTAGACCTTAAACTTTCTAAACCAATATCAACATGAATTAAAATTTTATTGGCTCTAAACGAAACAAAATATTGCAATTCCTGGGAACACATAGGCTCAATACAGGAAAGTTACCCTCAAATCACAAATGCCTGCTTAACAGATCTTCCTTTCAAGGAAAACAGATGATAAATAATGACCAGTATGTGTTTCTACCAGGAAAAAGACTGTGAAAGCCCCCACTGCTCAGTCCAGGTTATCTAAAGTGAATAAGATTAAAAGGCTTTAACTTATTCTCGATGTCAGTTGACAGATTATCCACTAAAATATCTATTAGCTAACATCTTCAGGTACTGCTGTTACAGGGGCACTCAAAGCTTGAGTCTGCAGGATGGAAAGGTTTTCTTTAAAGCAACATTGGTCCAAACAGGAAACTCAACGCACTTAGCCATCTTCCTTGGGAGGAGTGTACCAACCTGAAACAGAATTGGGTGAAGTGGTTAAAACATTCAGTATCTCAAACCAAGGAGAGGATAGGACGTTTTATTAAGCTTAGTTGACTTCTCTACTCACACTTCTCAAGTTTCAACCTTGCACTGGGTTTGAAAACAGCATTTTGGTATTATATTGTTCTTCACAGCTATTTGCTTCACTTGAGTTTCTAATAAAAAGTTAACTATATAAATGGCATTTCTAAATAAAGGTGACTATGAATGGATATTAGATTTCAAGACCAGTTTTTTTTCAATTTCAATTCTGGATCTGAAAATAGACCTTACTGGAACTATCCCCCCGCCCCAACGTCCTGGCATTTGAGAATAAGATGTCAATTTTGGATTGTCCTCTTTTAATGGTGTCATTTCACCAATTGAGGAGGCCATTTCCACAGGTGCAGTAACTAAGTAATGACTCTACCCACCTACCAAGAAGCAGTAGCCAAGTTACAATCTCTTGAGTCTCCTGCAGTTCACCAGGGCTTAGATTACACAAAGCCACACCTTTATCAATGTAACCACAAATATTTTAAATGCAAATTACAATGTTTGCTTACCATTAACAAAATATAAGATCTGCAAAAGGTGATTGTTTCACTTTTTTTATAAATAACAACAAAAACAGCTAAGCTCTCTTAAAAAAAAAAAGCACTGCTTAGTATTTAAAAAAAATCCCTTAAAAACTATGAACACATAGTTATGAAACATTAGACAAACAAGTGTCTTTGGATCTGCTCATTCTGAATTCTGGAAATGACCATTAATGTAAAAACCTGGCCTTGTACTTAAGTGTTATTTACCTCCTCAGAAGTCTGAAAATCAGATCTTGAATACTTTCATTTAGAGTCACTAAAAATGGGACAAGTTTGCTTTCTCATTAAAATGAGAAAGCACAAAACACATTTCAGGCTACCACATTTCTCTGCAAAGTAAAAATGCTTTACCATAAACTCTTAAGTAGTTTTCTATTATTTATGCTATATCAGAAAAAGCATACCACTCACTAACACATATTTGATGACTACTTTTATCACCACTGAGTTACAAAGTTACAAGTTACATGATACCTCACAAGTTTTGCAAAACAAGGTAAAAGTAAAAGTAAGTAAAGGCCCTCCCGTTGATCATCAATTTGCTCAAGCGGGCCCAGTAACGTCTCCATTGGAGACTTTGTTGTTACTGTGTCTGGCATATCGAATACTCTCAGTAGCTTGCCGGGCTCTCCGAGTGGGGCGGAGGAATCGAACTCGGGTCGGCCATGTTGGCTGCGTGCAAGGCAGACGCCCTACCCGCTGTGCTATCGCTCCAGCCAAACAAGGTATTATGCTAATTTAGAAATGAGAAAACTGAGGCTGAGAAGCAAAATAACTGTTTCAGTCCACAGATCTAGCAAGTAACACATATGCCACTTGGAAATAAGAGTTCTGCATTTTTGGGTCATTCCCGGCAATGCACAGGGGTTACTCCTCTGACTCTGAATTCAGGAATCACTCTTGATAGTGCTTGGGGGACTATAAGGCATGCTGGGAATCAACCTGGGTTGGCTGCATGCAAGGCAAACACCCTACCCCCTGTGTATCGCTCCAGCCCCATAGAGTTCTTATTCTAAGTTTACTTGTTTACCCTCATGACTGGAGACCAAAAATAAATAAAATGATACACTGTAAATATAAACAAAATTTAAAGATAATAAAGTTTAGATATTTAACAGTGGGCAAGGCACTTGCCTTGCACACTGCTGACCTGGGGTTGATCCTTACTACCCCTGGTCCCCTCAGCCACTCCTCCAGGAGTGATCCCTGAGTGCAGAGCCAGGAGTAAGCCCTGAGCACTGTCAGGTATGGCCTAAAACACTCCCCACCTCCAAAATTTTACTATTCAAATACTTTTTCATGCATACTTGGGCAATTTTTTTCTTGAGTAGGTAAGTCTGTTAGAGAGTCAAAAGCATTTAACCTGTTTTTCAAAAACAGCTGGTCACAATTCAGATATCATCACAGTTACACAGAGAACTCCAACTGTACAGCTAGCTGCCTTTAACTCAATTCCCACTGAGCTCACAATTATCAAATGAGTAAAAGTGATTCATTCACAAATCTACTCTAGACTCTGACTCAGATTCTCAAAGAATCTGGCAGCTTTGAAGGAAACACAGTATATGTATCCCTCAAGTTAAATGTTTTCACTGTGGTCACAGTACTTTTTTTTTCCCAAAAAGATTAGTGCAATTAGAAGAAAATTAAAACAGGTTAGATATCAATAGCACATTATATAAAAAAGAGATGACAAAATATACTTATTGAATTAAACATACCATTTTTCTCGTGAATCTGTACAATGGAATTATAAGATTGCTGAGCTCTTGCTAGATTATACTGATTCTGAAAGAGAAAATATACATTTAAAGTCTAAGCTATGCAAATGAAAACCATAACCCCTGGAGACATTATCACTGTCCTCAAGCGAGACATGAAATTGAGTTACATTCCCATTTCTGGAAGAATTTTAACATTCCCATTTCTAAAAGAATTTTAACTTCATACCCTAATTTTCAAGGTCACACCATTCTTCCATTTTTGAACCAAAGAAAATTTGCATTTCAACAAAAATCTGGGGTCAGAGTGATAGTACAGCAAGTAACAGCATTTGCCTCGCACACGGCCTACTTAGATTCAATCCCTGGCATCTCAAATGGTCGTTCAAGCACTGCCAGGAGTAATCCTTGAGTACCTCTGGGTATGGCCCTCCAACAACAACAACAAAAAAAAAATCTATGTTTCAAAGTTAGTTTTCTTAAGTCCTCCTGCCCCTAGACAAGTACAACACTGACCTTAAAGTTCCTTAAAGATCCTTTCAGAAATAATAAATCAAGAATGTTATTTGATGTGAACAGAATGCAAACTGACTTCCCAAAACTTCTATCCAAAATACAAACTTCAAAATATTATTTTCAGGTTAAAAAGCACTGAGGACTATACATGTTACTATGAGTTAAAAATCTAAAACTATGACCTCTATCATGACAAAGTCATGTCTTTTAGAATTCCTTTCAAGGGCTGGAGCGATAGCACAGCAGTAGGGCGTTTGCCTTGCACGCAGTCAACATGACCGACCCGAGTTCAATTCCTCCGCCCCTTTCGGAGAGCCCGGCAAGCTACCAAGAGTATCTCGCCCGCATGGCAGAGCCTGGCAAGCTCCCCGTGACGTATTCGATATGCCAAACACAGTAACAACAAGGTCTCCAATGGAGACGTTACTGGGCCCGCTCGAGCAAATCGATGAACAACGGGAGGGCCTTTTTTTTCCCCCAGGGGCCAAGTTTAGGATTAATTTTGTTCCCAACAGTATAACTGGCCTACATATATCTTAACTTTCAATTAATATATCATGAGTATATGCCATAGTAGGATTGTGCCACAGAATAAAGTCACACAAAAACAAAAATTGTGTGAGAACTTTCTAACTGCCTCCAAGCACCCAGTTTCTCTACCCTCATCCACCTGGCTTTCTCCCAAGTTAGTTACTGTTAACAATTTTATACTTTAAAATTTATATATAGAATTATTTAATTTCCAAATTTATGTAGATTTTAATTAAAATTTTCATTGCTGTCATTAATTTGAATTGCACTGTATTCAAATTCTATCATATACATTTTAGTTGACTTTATTACAACTTACGTTTATTATATATCACCCCCACCCCCTACTTCATATATCTTGGTAAAGAAATACAACATCAAATTACTGGGTACAGATACTCTTACCTGTCCATTGCACCAAGCTTGTTCACTGATTAGTCAAATTTTTGACACACCTGTTTACTTAACATAAATACACTGAAATCTCCCACTGTGCCAGAGAACATTTCTGCAAGAGACCCAAGTTCTAGCTATGGTCCTTCAAGCACCAAAAGGAGTAAGAAAAAAACCGAGCAATGCCTATGGTACCCACAAAACAAAACAACAACAACATCATATTAGGAGCCAGTGAGATAATGTGAGAGAGTTAATAATTAAGGCACGTGCCTTGCACGTGACTGATCCTGTTGAAACCCTTGGTTCCACATGATGCCTGAGAATCACTGAGTACAGCCCTGGAAGTCCCCAGACATTATGGCAGCAGCCTGGATAACCCCCAGCCCTGCAGGGCCTGACAGACACTGCACATTGATGCCTTTAATTAAACCAGCAGAGTCTAACTGGTTGGAAATTGCCAGGAGGGACACGTGGGGCTCCTGAGCACTGTTTGAGAGACCTTCATCCCCAAAAGTTCTATAGCTAAAAAATTAGTAAGGTATAACATCCAATGATAAGCCCAGAGGGAGAGTGTATTGGCTCAGGGCATCTGCCTCCTAAGTAAATGACCACACAGTTCAATCTCCAGGGTTCCACGTGAAGACAAGCACAATACTGTCAGTGCTACTGCCTAGAATTCCTAGCAGCACAATCTCCAGCCTCACTACAGCCAGACAGGTGTGTGTGAGAACCACAAGGAAAACAATAACAAAAAAGGGCTATAAACTCTAACAAGCATAACAACTAGAAAGTTGGGAGCACCACAACAATCCTGAGCACACACCTCTTGCAAGAACTGATGGGCACGTGTGCAAGCATGCAAGATTACAGGGAGCAACACAGCATGGTATACGGACACGTGGCACCGGCCCTATCCCTGCAAGTACCACAGCTACAATTGTGCGTATACCACAGTGAAGTGTGTGTGCAACCCCAATCACAGCAACATGAACAAAAAACAAAGAGAAGGGAAGAAACATAATCAAAATAAAACTGGGGGCGGGGCAGAGCAATAGTACAGCGGGCAGGGCACTTGCCTTGCACACAGCTGACAGGTTCAATCCCTGGCACCACATCCAGTCCCCCAAACCCACCAGGAGTGATGTGAGCCCAGAGCCAGGAGTAAGCCCTGAACACCACCGGATATGACCCCAAAACAAAACAACAACAAAACTGAGGCCACTAGCTATCTGAGATAACAAGTAGAGAAGGTGCTTGCCTTGCATGCAGCTGACCTGGGTTCGACACCTGGCACCCTATAAGATCCTGTGAGCCTCACTGGTGTGATCCTTGAGAGCAGAGACAAGAGTTACTCCTGAGCATAGCCAGGTGTGGCCCCTCCAAAAAATAAAACCAAAACTCTTCCTCTATTATGTAAGTTTGTCATATCTCCTTGTATTTTCATGAGTAGTTTAGTCTGTACATTGAGACTATTTTAATAGGTACATGAGAAAAAAATATTCTATCCTCCCGGTAATCTAACTGGTAGCTGAGATTTCCGCCATTACATAGTCACTTTCCACGTAAATTCCAAGATCCTATTAACATCTTAAAAATAATTTATTTAGAAGTCAGAGAAACAATACAGCAGGTAAAGCCCTTGGCGAACCCAAGTTCAATCCCTGGCACTACATATGATCCTCGGAAACTCATCAGGAGTGATCCTGAGTGCAAAGACAAAGGTAACAACTGAAAATTTTCACCTTCAGAGCCAGGGATATAGCTCAAAAGGAGAGGATATGCTGCTCATGTATAAGGCCCCAAGTTTGATCCCCAGCACCAAAATAGAGGGAAAGTCAACTTATGGTGCATAAGTATTTAGGTACCTGACTTAACAATCTATGTAAAAAAGAGGGAAAAAAAGGAGGGTGGGACGCTTATTTACTTGCTACAAAAACTACAAATCATGGGGCCAGAGAGATAGTAGAGAGGTTACAGTTCCATCCTACCTTGATTCCTAGCATGCCCTGAAACACCTCCTAGAGCAATTCCTGAGCACAGAGTTAGGAGTAAATTTTAAGCACAGCTGGGTGTGTCCCCAAAGCCAAAAACAAAACAAAAAGTTAAAAAAAAGAAAAAGAGAAAGAAAAGGAAAGAAAAGGAAAGAAAGAGAAAGAAAATTAGAAAGCACTGGGTTGCCCCAGGTTCAGGGATGTATAGGGTGGAATGGTTTAAAGGAATTACATGACAGATTAATTCTAAAACACTATGGCATGGGGGTATAGTGCCGCCAAGGGTCAATCTGTACGTGTGAGGCAAGTGCATCAGCAGCCTGATGGCACCTTCAGACTCCAGATACCCCAAAATTGCTGCTGTGTCTTTGGCCAGACCCCAAAAACTTGGGGCAAAGTTTACCAAGAAAGTAAACGGCCAAAAGTTAGGTATGTGGGAGACACACCCACAAACCACCTCTGGCTCAGCTATATCATTGGAGGCAAGGCCTCTCTGGTTCTTGATCAAGCCGTTTAATGGCCATGATCCCTGAGACTCAGAAACAAATCTCGAAACCCAGCAGCTTTTGGCAGAAATCCCTCCAGATTTAAGTGTTAAAATTTCGGAATTGCAAAATTGTGCAGCCACTACGGCAGCCACGCGATATCATATGTTATTCATAACCAGCAATAGAAGACAAATTGTCTACTGTTGCCTTTTCAGCAGATCTTAGTGTTGGGGTAAAATCCCAAATAACAATAGTGGGTCTGGTGTCAAAATATTGAATGTAATCAAAGCAGAGAGAGAGTAATGTGGAAATCATCTGCTCCTTAGGTAGGGGAGGGTGTGGGATGGGGGTATACTAGGGTTTTGGAGGGTGGAGAATGGGCACTGGTGAAGGTACGGGTGTTTCATTGTATGAGCGAGACTTAAACCCGAAAGCTTTTTAACTGTTCTCACGGTGATTCAATAAATAAAATTATAAAAAATTTTAAAAAAGGTGGAGTTCATGCCCAATTCAATCAGCTAATAAGTGGCTGAATAAACAGCAGTACTCCTACATAAAAAGAAAAAAAATGAAACACTACGACAGAGGCCAGAGCAATAGTATAGCAGGTGGGGTACTTGCCTTGGATGCAGCCAACTCAGGTTCAATCTCTGGCATCCCATAGGCTCACCTAAACACTGCCAGGAGTGATTCTCGAGTTCAGAGCCAGCTGTAACCCCTGAGCTTCATCAGGTGTGCACCACCACCAAATTTAAAAGAAAACAAAAACAAAAACACTATAGCATTGAAAACAGAGTACTGGTGTTATAGAACTTTAAAACGAGGAAAAACTTGGACCACAGAGATGGCACAAGGGCTAAATTGCATGCTTTGCATGCAGAGTTCAACCCCAGGCACCTCCAAGCAACCACTGGGAGCAACCACCGAGCAATGAGATAAGTCACAGCATTAAGTGTAGCCAGAAAACAAAACAAAACAAAATCTTTTCAAATGAAATACACTAAATGTTTATGAATGATTATTAACATTCCATATAAAAATAAAAATCAAGAAAATAAACAGGTCTGGAAAGATAATTATTCTCGTGTGATATTTAAAACATCTGAAACCTGGGTCAGGAACCCATGGACAGGAGTCTGATTCTGTGCGCCAAGTGGCCCCCAGAGTACATCATGACGAACCCTGGTGGCTCCCAGCTCCCAGGGCAAAGCACTGCTAGTCACTGAACCTTCTAGCCTATTGACTAAGACCACCAGGAGTAGGCCCCAGTCCTCTGGGGAAAGCTTAGGAGGCCCCAACACTATAGCAAAAGAAACGGTCTAAAATACACATGCTGTTAAGAAATGGTGATTAGATATAAATCATTCACTAATGTTCAGGAATTATTTCTTCATTGTGCAAATAGTGCTTAGGGGTTAGTAGGATGAGGCTGTGGGAACAAGGATCAAACCCTGGGACTGCAATATAGACACACAGACACACATACACGTGCATGCGTATAATTTTATTTGGATAGACACTTAACCCAAATTCATTACAGAAATTTAGAACATCCACTTTGTAAACAGTATCAGATCAAAATGTGGCTGGCCTGGGCTGAATCTCCAGCACCTCATGAGCCTGTCAAGAGTGACCCCTGACTGCAGAACCAGAAGTAAGCCCTGAGCAATTCCAGGTGTGCCCCCACGACCCACCCCCAAATAAAAAAAAATATAAAAGATATTTCTTCTATATATATATAATTTATTTATATATATATATATTTCTATTACAAATTAAAAAAAATACTGGCTTCTGAGTGCATGTTTGGTCTATATAGGTATTTAAAGGGAGCTACAACTAGACAGGGAAAGGCACTTCTGGCATAGTTAGCAAATAAAGAATAAACTCATTGGTTAAGAGAATAGACGAATGGTAAAGTAAAATAAAGTAAAGGCCCTCCCGTTGATCATGGATTTGCTCGAGCGGGCCCAGTAACGTTTTCATTAGAGACTTTGTTGTTACTGTGTCTGGCATATCGAGTACATCACGGGGAGCTTGCCAGGCTCTGCTGTGTGGGCGAGATCCTCTCGGTAGCTTGCCGGGCTCTCCGAGAGGGGCGGAGGAATCGAACTTGGGTCAGCCATGTTGGCTGCGTGCAAGGCAAATGTCCTACTACTGTGCTATTGCTCCTAATTCCAGTCCTCCCTTTGTTAACTATGACCTTTGACCAGTTACCTAATTGTTCAGTTTCCTTTCTACAAAATGAGAACAAGAGTGACAGTACTTTTAGGTTAGTAAAAGGATTAAGAGTTAATACAAATAAAAAGCTTAGATCTGATCCTCGCATATAAATGCTTGCTGGAGTTAACTATTATAACATAGTTTCACTTGATCACTTGATCCCCCATTATTCATCGATTTACTCGAGCGGGTGCCAGTAACATCTCCATTCATCCCTGTTGCGTGCTAGTATAGCCCAATGGCATCTGCTCGTTCTAGGAACATGCAGAGCCTCAAACCGATCATTCAGGGTCTTGACGAAGAAGTCTGACCATCTTGTAGTCATAGTCTCAATTTGGGGAAATTTCAAAGTACATATAACCTTTGACTTATTAGTATATATACCCCCCAATTTTTTTTAAATTAGACATGTTGATCTACATCTTTGGTAAGGTATGTACCAAAGATAGGAAGGAGCTTCACAAATGAACAGGGAACACATCTTATAGCTTACGTGACATTTTAAGTAAAAGTACCTTGTTTGCACCAAACTGCACTCTGGCTTTGCCTTTAACCAAGGTGGCATTGATCTGCATGATGACCGATTCTATTGAGTAGGCACTGCTCCAGCCCTACAGGAAGGAGAAAACACTTCTCTGAAACACAGTGGCACTTCTTCTGTCCACTTAGGAACCCTAAACAAAATGTCAACATCACAACTCCACAGTAACAAATCAATGTTAAGAAACTTGCAGTCACAGCCAAGAGAAAAATTAACTTAGAACATTTCCAAAAGTCTTGCAAACAACAAATCTATATTCTAAATGCCAAGCGTGAGCAAATTAAATATACATCACTCTTAATGCCCATCCTCACACAGGCAAACCACAGAGGGCAATGTCACTTAACACTTTACCCTAAATAGTCTTATAGTCTTTTCATTGTTAAAAGTGGGTGTCATTTAAAAAGAACTAAAATTCATCAGAATTTTCCACTCAGATTCTATTTACAGAATCAAAACACTATTTAGAGTACAGCATAAGAAAATAGTCACCTGTTTTGTGAGAAGTTCCATACACAATGCTCCACCACCCAATACATACCTTAAAAAGAAAAAAATAAAATCATCCAGATCACTATATTTCTTCTTATTCAGCTTTTAAAGTACCACTACTATCAGTGTACGCATCCAAGTAAATATTAGAACATGCAAAACTGACAACTGTCAGTATTCAAGGCTACAGATACGTCATGCCAGTGCTTTAAGACAAATGGAGGTGGGTCTCTCAAAAGTTCAAGGGAGACTTGACATCACCCTGCTGGTACTTGAGAGACCATAGAGTGTGAGGAAATCAAATCTGGGACCTTCTTATGCCAAACAGATGTCCCTCTGAGTCATCTCCCAGGCCCTAGCCATGGTTTTTAAAATCAGGGCTCTTAGGAACATAGTACCTTAAGTCTTTAAAGGTAAAAGAGGAGCTTAATCCCTGACATTTCAGGAACTGGAGGCATTCTACTTAGTTAAATCTTGTTCTAATTTTATGTTATAAAAACAAGAGTTTGCAGGCAAGAGTATCAATTTTACCCTATTTGTGATATTGAACACTTGCGTGGTAATTCTGGAATTTCAATTACTTTCTACTTGCTGTGGTTTGGTAACACATCCAGCCGTACTCAGGGCTTATTCCTGGCTCTGGCCTCAGAAATTATTCCTATAGACTTGGGGGATCGTGTGGGATGCTGTGAATCAAACCTGGGTTGGTCAAATGCAAGGCAAGCACCCTACCTGCTGTACTATTTCTTTGACCCATTTTTTTAATCAATTCTTTTGTGAGAACCAAATGATCTGACCATAGAGCTGTTCCTCAGGTTGTTTCTAGTCCCAGGGATTATTTCTCCACTAAAGTCAACATCTGGGGCTTTCACAGTGCTCCTTCATGGAATCACTATTGAGTTCAAATTGTTCAACATTTTACTCTTTAAATAAAGACAACTTCATTCCTCCTTTTTTGATGTTTGAGCCCAGAGCTGTCAGCGCTCAGGGTTTACTCCTGGTTCTGCACTCAGAAAACACTCCTGGCAATACTCAGGGAACCATTGAGATACTGGGGATTGAAACCAGGTTGGCCACATGCCAAGTGCCCTACCCACTGTAGTATCACTCTGGCCCCCTCCTTTAATACTATTTCAATCTTCAAAATTTATCGCCCCTAAAAAAAAATCAGGGGAATGATAATGGGGGTGGGGGGCATAAACTCTGCCTATCCTATCATGCCTGAGATTCTGTTTGCCTCCTACACTTTGAATCACCTTATTTTCCCCTACTGATACTTGCCAACATTCTCACCTGTGTATTCTGCATGCCAGTTAATCAAATGTATTCTCATTCTTACTAAGTCAAGTTACTGAGGGGAATCTAAAACCTTCCACTGTGGACCATTAATGTCAATTAATGAAGTTACTCAATGACAACAATTATGCAATAATCCCTCCATCCAGAAAAAACAAAAAGTCACAATCCTTTCTTAACAGGTAATTGAATTCTGAAAACAGAGATGCAAAAAAAGGATGAAATAAAAGCTAAGGTGTGGCCCTAAAAAGCAAAAAAAAAAAAAACCCCACGGGGGGGGGAGGGGCGACGGGAAGAGGAACTACTCTTTCATATTCCTAGATGGGTTTTTAAAAATGTGATGCACAATAATTTGCAAATACTGTTAATGACAGAGTTTCATGCACAAAATGCTCCAACATTACCCTCTCCTACAGAGTGAGCCTCCAATAACCCTTTCCCACCCCCACTATGATTAACTCAGTCCTAAAGACCAGTTCTCAATATAACTAGGCTGTTAAGGATGTTTCCTGAATACAGACAGAAACATACCACATTACAAGTAAAATTAACTTCTTTGTTAATGAAAATAACAAAGGATGACTGGGGTGCAAATAATACTTCACATTATACCCACCAACAAAGCATTTTTGTTTACTACAAATCGCTTTCTGATAATGAGATTTTAAAAAGAAACAAAGAAATAGATTATTGGAGAGATAGCTCAGTGGGTAAGATGCTGACCCAGGTTCAATCCCAGCACCACCTATGAACATCATTAGGAGTGATCCCTGAGCACAGAGCCAGGAGTAAGCCCTGAGTACCATCAGTTGTGACCCCCAACCCCCCCAAAAAAGAAGCAAAATTTAAAAACTGGGGGGTGGCGGGAGAGAGAATTTCAGGACTAGGTGAGGGAAATGAGTAAAAGATGATGTAAGACCAGACAGAATGGAGACTGGAAAGGAGATAAGTTCCTATAAGTTTGTGTCCCATTCACTTGAAATGCCAATTTAAGAGATACTCAAAGATGTCAAATAGGTGACTGTATAAAGGGAGCAGGAAAGAGGTATAGGAATGTGAGGTACTAATGTTGAGTCACTGACACATGGCAACATTTTACAAGCCACAGGGATCTTTTCAACCAATGGTTCTGGAGCAATTACTGGACATTAGGCCAAAAAAAAAAAAACTGTTCTAAACCAGTGGTCTGCAACCCAAAAGGAGAGAGAGAACAAAAGGGAATGCCCTGCCACAGAGGCAGGGTGGGATGGGGGGTGGGAAGGATACTGGGACCCGTGGTGGTGGAGAATGGGCACTGGTGAAGGGATGGGCATTTGATCATTGTATAATTGAAACCCAAGAACAAAAATTTTTAAGTCTACAACTGTACCTCATGGTGTTTCACTAACAAAAATTAAAAAAAAAGAATACTGATCTATGAAATAAACTATTGGGGAAGAAAAAAAAAAAACCAGTGGTCTGCAACCGTTTTACATCTGCAGACTGACAACAATGACGCACCATTTCCAAAACCCTGGCAAAGATATGAGCAAGTATTTAATGGAGGAGTTCTATGCAGCTGTCAAAACAGACACAAAAAATAGTCAAGATTAGGGAGTATGGATTAAATACGGTCACTGTCCTCCCGTTGTTCATCGATTTGCTCGAGCGGGCCCAGTAACATTGTGAGACTTGTTACTGTGTTTGGCATATTGTATACGTCACCGGGTAGCTTGCCAGGCTTTGCCGTCCGGGCGAGATACTCTCGGTAGCTTGCCGGGCTCTCCGAGAGGGGCGGAGGAATCGAACTCGGGTCAGCCACGTTGGCTTCGTGTAAATGGATTAAATAAACTAGTTAAAACACTCTTAAAACAGTTTGGCAGTTCTTTTAAAAAACTCTATCCTAGGGACCAGAGATAGTATAAGAGTTAAGGTGCTTGCCCTGTACCACAAATAGCCTCCCCATTACCACGATCCCTGAGCACAGGGCCAGGACAAAGGCCTGAGCACAGTCAGGTGTGACCCCGAACCTCTTAAGAAACTTTAAAAACAAAACGAAACAGAAAAGGCTTTCCCCCAGTTTAAACTATGGAGATTATGTTCTTTGAACTCTCTCTCACCTCACACGTCTCTAAATTTCTTTCAATATATATGATGCCATGGAACACTCTTCAGCAATAAAAGGTATTATATAGAAGTTTAGATTGATTCTCAGGGAATTATGATGAAGGAAAAAAACTACTAACCTAAAGGTTACAATTCCAGAATGTATTATTCCACTAAATATAACTCATTTTAAAATAAAAAAAAATACGAGAAGTGCAAGAAATATTAGTGGTTGTTAGGAGAGTTCAGGGAGGGGGATAATTAAGGGAAAAAGTGTGATTTAAAAGGACGACAAGAACAATACCTGCTTTCAAGACACAGTACAGCATTTAGGTGCCTGCCTTGCATGCAGTCAACCCTGGTTCAATCCCCAGTATAACATAAGGTCCCGAAGCACAGCCAGCAGTAGTAACCCCTCAGCACAGAGCCAATAACTAAACAATCAAACATTAGCAATATATGCTTCAATAAATTTGCAGGACGAGTACCATTTGGTTCTTTAAAGCTGAAACAAACATCTCTAGAAGAATTAGATGGTTACTTCCATGGGGGTCAATCATAATTTATAGAATCATTGGTATGAAGGAATCAAAGAAATCCTATCTTTCTCTAAACCTTCAATCACAATGTATATTTGAAAAATATATGTTGCTTGCTTTTTAATAGTGAAATGTATGTAAAAGGGACATAAACCGTGCTTATCAACAGCATCATGCTTAATACCAACTATGGTCTCAAACTACTGTGGCCTCAAACTAGCAGTGCCAGCTTTACTGGGAACCATTTTAACATTGCAAGTTCTCAGGTCACAGACATACCAAATCAGAAACCTTCAGGTAAAATATAGCTTCCCTCATTCCCTAGCATTTAAATAGCCCTCTGCATAATTCTGATATATGCTACCAAAGAAAATGATCACTTACACTTACCCTCCTGAGAGAACAGGCAACACCACTCGAACAAATGGAGGATCAAATGGAAAATTATCCTAAAAAGCAAGTTCAATTAATTTGTGGTTTGAGGGTGGGGCGTAGGGGGGTGGGTATTGGGAGGGAATCATACCTAGTGGGGAGTAGGGACTATTCATTGCCAGGTATTGAACTCAGGGCTCCTGCATACAAAGCATGCACCCAGCCTGTTATATGAAATATATGAAGAGGTTCCCCTTACAGAAGAACCATAAAGAGAAACCACACCTATGACAGATCAGGTAATTTAGACCAATTCCCTGGCTGAGAACAAGAAAAAGTAGACAAAATGTAACAACCGGGCCAGAAGATAATACAAAGAAATACTGCATATGCTTTACTTGCAGAACTGACTCGTCCCTGACACCACAGGCTTCCTGCGCATTCCTGGAAGTGACCCCACGCACCTAGCCAGAAGGAGCCCTGAGCCTTCCCTTGTGACAACTAGCTAAAATTGGGGGAAAGCAAAGGAAACAATCAAGAGCAGGGTTTTGATTTTCCCCTTAGGTTTGCTCCCAACTGTAGAAGAGAAGGATTAGAAGTTTGAAAAGTGGAGCATGGGCCTTTCAGTATGGAATGGTAATACTCCAAAAAGTACCCCAAGAAGTTCACAACTTCCTCCCTGACTCCTGGATATACTCACTATCCTAAACTGTATAATGAAACTGTAGTAATCAAATCTTTGCCTTTTTCTCAGTATTTTCATTAAGAATAAACCCATAAATCAGTGTTTCTCGAGTATCTTTTCATTTCTAAAAAATCTTCAGAATTTTCTCTCTAGTTTCTTCCCACTCCATGAGATTATTTTCTCCTTGGAATTTTCTCATAACAGATAAACTGGAACATTTAATATATCTGTATTGTGAGTCCTTGAGAGGCCATTGTCCACTGAATTAGCTAGATTTTTTTTTTACTCTGGAGCGATAGCACAGCGGGTAGGGCGTTCGCCTTACAAGCGGCCAACATGGCCGACCCGAGTTCGATTCCTCCGCCCCTCTCGGAGAGCCCGGCAAGCTACCGAGAGTATTCGATATGCCAGACACAGTAACAACAAAGTCTCCAATGGAGACGTTACTGGGCCCGCTCGAGCAAATCGACGATCAACGGGAGGGCCTTTACCTTTTTACCTTTTTTTTACTCTGAACCAATTTTTAGCACATGGGAAAGACAGGGAGGTGGTGATACTGTTTCCACTGACAATTTTTATATATAGAAAATGTATATGTATAAACTATATATCACTTCACTTAATCACTTAATCCCCGTTATTCATCGATTTATTCAAGCGGGTGCCAGTAACGTCTCCATTCATCCCGGTTGCGTGCTAGTGTAGCCCAATGGTATCTGTTCGTTCTAGGAACATGCAGAGCCTCAAACCGATCATTTAGGGTCTTGACGAAGAAGTCTGACCATCTTATAGGTGGGCGTCCACGTGATCTTTTGATGTCTCGTGGAATCCAATCAGTAATGGCTCTAGTCCAGCGGTTGTCTGTAAACCTCATTACGTGTCCAGCCCATCTGATTTTTGATGTCTTGGCAAATGAGACAGCGTCCCTGATTCTTGAGCGTTGACGAAGATCAGAACTCCGGATTCTATCTCTCATTTGAGTGAATCGTGATATTCTAAGCATAGTTCTTTCGATTCCTCTTTGAGAGACCTGAATAGTGTTCTCATCCTGTTTTCGTAGGGTCCAGGTCTCTGAGGCATATGTTAATGCAGGAAGAATAGTGGAATCAAAGAGATGTGCTCGTAGCTGGAGGTTCTTTGTCCTTTTAGTTATTTCTTCAATGCTCTTGAAGGCATTCCAAGCCGCTCTCTTCCTCCTGCGCAACTCAGGTGCCAGGTCATTCATCATGTTGATTTCTCGACCTAGGTATATATAACTGTTGCATTTGGAGATGGTGGTTTCGTTGAGAGCGAATGGAGCGTCAGGAACAAGGCTGTTTCTCATAAACATTGTCTTCGTAAGATTCAGCTGTAGTCCGACCTTTCCACATTCACGGTCAAAGTCCTTCAGCATTTGTGCCGCTTGGCTGATGTTTGGTGTTATTAGAACGATGTCATCAGCAAAGCGGAGGTGGTGTAGTTGCCGACCATCTATCTTCACTCCCATGTTTTCCCATTCTAGTCGTCGCATGATGTTCTCGAGGGTGGCACTGAAGAGTTTTGGTGAAATGGTATCACCCTGCCGAACCCCTCTCTTGATATGGATGATTACTTTGTAGAAGAAGTAATTTATATATACATATAAATGAAATCACATAAATCATGTTTTGGAGAAACTATTCTCTTTAAGTTTAACACTGTATTTAAGATTTACCCATTCTGGTTCCAGGGATGTGACTCAGTGGTATAGTACATGCCTCACGTGTGAAAAATCCTGAGTTCAGTTTCCAACACTAGTCATAAAAAGTTCATCTTGGTACATATATAGAGAGAGATTTCTGTCGTATTTTATAACTACCACAAGTCTGTATTCTATTAGAGATGAATGAATAAATAAATGATAAATAAGCATGGGTTATTTTCTGCATTGGGCTACTGCTCTGAACTCGTGTATGTCTACTGTGATTATTCCGTCTGAAAAGGTATACACCCAGGGCCTGACTTCCTGAGCCATAGAGGTCTGAATATCTTCTAATTTACCAATCAACATACCAGATAGTTTTCCAAAGGAGTTGTGCAAATATACACTGTATTAGAAACATAGAGTCCCCTTCCAAATTCTTACCTTAAAAGAGAAATTAAGCAAAATATATTCTATGCCTTCTTTTTCTTTTAAGATCTGAAGATCACTGTGCAAAGGACTATCGGGATCAACCCTAAGAATTACAATACAAAAAACAGTTCAAAGTCAGGGTTTGTTTTTTTCCCCCTTCCTTACTAACCTCAAAAAATATTGCAGTTCAAATGCCAAAGTAAGTTTCAAGCAGTGGTCTAGAGCTGAGCTATGATTCCAGGAAGACACTACAGCCTCATACTCCCTGGGATTAAATGTCCAAAAATGAGGTCATAGAATTCTAGATCTATACTCCTAAGGGAGTTCAAAGTTAGCAGTAAGGATATGTACACGATGTTCTCAAGAACTACAAAATAATAATAATTTTAGTTTTTCTAAAACTTTTAGTGAAATCTACCACAGGCAAAGTCCTGAGGGAAATCATTAACAAAATCTAAATTCTTCTACAACTGTTCTATATATTCAGGTCCTTCTCAAAGCCCTAATAAAACTGGTCCTATAGTAAATCCCATCAAGTTATTAAATATACTTTTTCAAAAGTTTCCTATTGCCTCACTAACTCATGCAACACCATGACTGCCACAGCTCTTGCTGCTTTTGCTTTTTTATTATTAAGAAAAGTTTGTTTTAAAATTATATTAAATACCATGATCAGCAAAGTCATTCAAAATACAGTTGTTTCAGGGATTCAATGTTCCACACCAATCCCACCACCTTGCTTCTACCAATGACCCCAGTTTCCCATCTACCACCCCAACCTACTCCCTTAGCAGACACAACATAATTTACTTCATGTACAGTGTTACAATATACCTCTCAAAATAACGTTATTAAAGTCATATTTAATAAATGTTATTAAAGAGACTTTGTGACTGAGAAGTTTGGGTCCAATGGGATTGGGAATAGGGATCCTCTGCCCATAACCCCCTGTCTCAGGCCTCTCAGCAGTCATGCCCATAAGCTGCCTCAGACTGGTGCCAGATGATCTCATTATCAACCAAGAAAGAAGCATAACATGACACTGCCAAAACCATGCCTCTGCCCCAGGCTGTTTCATTAGGAATGGGTGGGTGAGAACCCTCCTCACCCCAAGGGACCCAGCCCCGGCAGCCAGAACTCAACTGCCGCCATGCTCATGGCCACTCAAGGCTGCTCTACATACACTTATTGGACTAAGAAGAGGAACTCCCCTAGGTGGTGTTTCCACCCTTGAGCTTGATGGGCAGTCAGGAAGGGATTTCTCATGTTGATTCAGCTACCAGACTGGGTGTCCGGTCTGCTCCCAGTGCGGGGGAGTTGGAGAGAGACAGAGACTAGAGAGTTGGAGGAGAGGAGAGAGACAACAGGGCAGCAAGATGGAGCGCAGAGAGATCAGCGGGAGAGACAGGAGGAGACGGGAATGAGAGGCAGTGTGAGTGAGACTAGAATCGGGGGCTTATAGACTGGAACAGTGGGGAGAATGGAATAAATGGCATCTGATCATCAACTGGCTTGGTCATCCTTTCCTCCTTCATCCACCCCATGGCCTGGGCCACCCAGGGTGAGGGAGTGGCCCAAGCCACTCTCCCTAGCTGCCCCAGAGATTACATAGGCTCCCAAGTGAAACAATCTTCACACTCTTTCATCCAAGGAAATTTTTTGTAGCATTTTCAGCAGTTTTTTCATTACAAATAATACAAAATATATCATTTCAGTTCTGCTTTAGGGCAGAAGTTGGGGTTCAGGATATAAACATCCAAAATATGGTTGTGGGAAGGTGTAATGGTGGTGAAACTGGTGTTTGAATATTAAATGTAATCAAATATTGTGAACTACCTTATAAAACAAAAAATTTTTCAAAAATAAAAAAGTCACTGAGGATTTACTGAGCTGTTTGGTGCTAGTTGAGCCTTTTGTGTTATTGCTTTCACTCACTGACTTAAGTGGACTTCTATGCAACTTTCCCATCTTAATTACTGTGTTCCTACTGAGTTGTTCCTACTGTGAAATTGTGTCACATACAGCCATGTACTTCAGGAGCTGTGGAATTGGGATGATTCAGCAGCTTGGCATCTCTTCAAGATTAGTCATGGAATGAAACAGCTCATTTTCAACAACCTGAGAACTACAACCTGAGAACTATTTCTATAGAAACAGGGCCTAAATTTCTAAGTAAAAGGCATAGTATAAAGGTATCAAAGGAAAGGGGAGGGTGAGAAGGGAGCTCCATTGTAACAGACTACCATTAAAAAAGAATGGATTTGTGTTAAAAAAATTAAAAAAAAAAACCACTTACTTCTGCAGTTTAACATGCCAGTCATATAAACTGTCATTTATGAGCTCCACTGAATAAATCCCTGTAAAGGTAATGAACATGTCAGTAACTTTTGATTTGTTCTTATTACTATTATTCTGTCATTAATGTATACACTAGTCAACTAAAGCTAGAAATTTTGCTATTAACAATGAAATAACTAAGCTATACTGTAACTAGTATGCCACTGGAGCTGAATATTTCATGTCATTATAGAAACTTAAGTACATCTATGAATGACCTGGGATACCACATTAACCACCAAACTGAGTAGGAAGAAGGGGAAAAACAGACTGCATAACATAAAATATACTTCTTAAGATTTTTCTATAAATATTTCTATAAAAATGGGACTAGGGATTGAGTTCAGTGAGAGGTAGAGCCTTTGCCTCACATCTCTCTCTTTCTCTCTCTCTCTCTCTCTCTCTCACACACACACACACACACACACACACACGCGCGCGCGCGCGCGCGCACACACACACGAATCCCTACGGGACAGAGCCATAATGCAGAAGATAGGGTATTTGCCTTGCATGTGCCCAACCAGGATTCCATCCCTGGCAGCTCACATGATCCCCCAAGCATCACTAGGAGGAATTCCTGAGTGCAAAGGCAGGAGTAACCCCTGAGCACTACCAAGTGTGACCAAAAAAGAAAAAATCCCTCTCTATATAGCACTGTAGCACTGTCCTCCCGTAGTTCATCTAGATGCTCAAGCAGGCACCAGTAACGTTTCCATTGTGAGACTTGTTACTGTTTTTGGCATATCAAATATAACACGGAGAGCTTGCCAGGCTCTGCCATGCGGACGGGATACTCTCAGTAGCTTGCCGGGCTCTCCAAGAGGGACAGAGGAATCGAACCCGGGTCGGTCACCTATAAGGCAAACACCCTACCTGCTGTGCTAAATATTATAAACTCTTATATTTTCAACTAAGTATAGAGAAATATATTGGGAATATTTTTTTAAGTAGTAATTTTAGGGAGCACCCAAGCATTCTTGAACAAACAGACCAGACAGCTCAATGCTAGGATCCATGGATGCCAGAGCCACATCAAGAGTAATATTCCCCACAGCTATACTTTAATTTAACCAATTCTACTGATTATAAATATTGTAATTCTTTCCTATTACAATACTTTAATTACTTAACACTTAAAGATAAGTCACTATTCAAATACTTAAAAATACTCTGTTTAGTATTTCTACTGATTTACTCATTTGGTGGGAGGGGTCAGTTTAAGACCATATCCAGAGGTGGTCAGAGGCTTGTTTATACATACATACATACATACATACATACATACATACGGTCACGGTCACAGTCCTCCCGTTGTTCATCAATTTGCTCGAGCGGGCCCAGTAACGTCTCCATCATGAGACTTGTTGTTACTGTGTTTGGCATATCGAATATGTCACGGGCAGCTTTCCAGGCTCTGCCGTGCGGGCGAGATACTCTCGGTAGCTTGCCAGGCTCTCCGAGAGGGGCGGAGGAATCAAACTCAGGTCGGCCATATTGGCTGCGTGCAAGGCAAATGCCCTACCACTGTGCTATCGATAGCACATGGACTCATACATACATACATACATATATATACACACATACATAGTCTTTTGTTCGTTTATTTATTTATTTTTGCTTTTTTGGGGTCACACCCGGCAATGCACAGGGGTTACTCTGCTCTGCACTCAGGAATTACTCCTGGCAGTGCTCAGGGGACCATATGGGATGCTGGGAATCGAACCCAGGTCGGCCACGTGCAAGGCAAACGCCCTACTGTGCTATCACTCCAGCCCGTTTATATTTTAAGTAAAAACTAATGATCAATATTTGATAACTGAGAATTTCTAAAAGGAGCTATCTTCACTGAAAAAAAATCAAAGTATGGTTCTTCCTTTAGTACTTTTAGAATCTGTTAACAATGTAAGGAAATCACTTCAAGTACAAAAGCTCCACAATAGGGGCTGGAGCAATAGCACAGCAGGTAGGGCGTTTGCCTTCACACAGGCAACCCAGGTTCAATTCCCAGCATCCCATACGGTCCCCTGAACACCGCCAGGAGAAATTCCTGAGTGCATGAGCCAGGACAACTCTTGTGCATCTCTGGGTGTGACCCAAAAAGCAGAAAAAAAAAAAAAAAGCTCCACAATATACAATTCCTATTGGACTAATTAAATTCTCTGGGACTGGGAGACAGTTTTGCAGTTACGAGTCAGGACAGAATGCTAGGCACAAGCCTGACCCAGATTCAATCAACCACCTGGAGACACTAGGTACGACCTGGAAGCCCCAAACACTGCTGTAGTGGCCCAGGTCACCACAGGGCCCAAGCAGCATCTATTCACAGGCTTCTGCACTGAACTCAGGCCTGGCAGGTCAAGAACCATTGGTAGGGCCCTGGAACGCTCAAAGCACCACTCCAGAACACACACACACCCCTGCCTCCCAATTATATGGAGTCAAGTTATGAAATGAAAAAAAGAAACGTTTAAACTGATTTCTAAACATGTTATGTTCATAATGGTGTTGCTATTAGCTGCTTCTTTCTTTGTTTTAGGGCCATACCCAGCGATGGTCAAGGATCACTCCTGGCTCTGCACTCTGAAATGATTTCTGGTGATGCTCAGGAGAACCCATGGGATGCCAAGGATCAAACCCAGGTCAGGCTCATTAACCATCTCCCAGCCCCCAAACATTTTTCTCTCAAAAGATAAAAACTTAACACGTCAACTGGGCAAAAATTCTTCTGTTTACAAAATATACGCTCATCTTATTTACTTTTCAAAGCAGATATTACATGTACGTCTCTGCAGAAGATAAAAACCTTATATGGAATGCCAGGTAGAAGAACAAAGGACTGGAGCACACGCTTTACATGAGGGATGCCTAGGGCTCAGTCCCCACTACTGCCTGTTTCCCTGAATGTTGTGCTCCCCCCTAATTAACAAAGTAACAAAAACCCTTTAAGGGCCTGGGGACACAGTTTAAAGTGCTAGAATTTATGCCTGACAAAAATGAGGTCCCAAGTTCAATCCCTGGCACTATATACTCCCCTCCCCATTTCCTTCTCCCCCTCACACACAAATCACAGCCAGATGTGGTCCCGGTGGGCCCCAACACTATCAGCCCTAGAAGCACAGCACTGCCAGGCTGAGCACTGAAATCCTGAGTTCCCCACCACTGGGTTGGGGATCACAAAGCGTGGCTCCGAGGCCCTCCAGAGTCAATTCCCATCAGCAAAACAAAAAATTATGATATATCTCTAATGAAGATTTTTAAAAATTCAAACAGCTAGGCTAAAGAGATAGTACAGCAGGTATGGTAAGCCCTGCACATAGTTGACCCAGGTTCAATCCCTGGCAGTACATATGGCCCCCTGAGCATCACTGGAATGATCCCTATTCCTTAAGCACAGAGGTGGGAGGAAGCCCTGAGCATAGCTGGGTGTGAAATAAAACATATAAAACAAAAGTAAACCAAGAAAGCTAGCAAATTCATCCTATTTTATCTCTACAATCAACTTTGTGTTTTGCATCCCTAAGATAAATTTAATGACTATTTGTTTGCCCTGCTGTATTAAGGAAAATTATTTACTCTCTACAAAATTGACAAGACCATAAGAAAAGCAGAGGAAAAAGGTCCTTACCGGTTTTGTAACTCTGTGATCTGTATATGTCCCTGAGCTCTTTCATAAGTCTATCTGAAGCTTGCACAGACCCAGACACTGCACCCTGAAACAGAAAATCTGCTGTTAACCACCTATGAAGTCAAATAATCAAAGGTATTTAAGCATGAAATACAGCAAGATTCCAAAAATGGATCACAACTCAACATTAAGAAGTTTTAAAAACTAGATTCATGGGGACCAAACACTGTCAGGAGTGATCCCTGAGCCATCATCAGGTGTGGCCCAAATGCTAAAAAGAAAAAAAGAAAGAAATGTACTTAATTTCTTCAGTTAGTGTCCTTCATGGAAAGTGTTCAATAATAACCAAAATAAGGGATGACCTAAATTTCTTTCCTCTTTAGATTAGAAAATTACATTAGTATGGTATTCTAATTGCAAACAACATGTGGCATTTCTTTGCATATCAGTTAATTCCCTGTGTTTTAAGAAATCTGTGCATGAGACAAACTGGTCCTCAGGTTTTGGAGCCAGTAAATGCTCAACGCTAAAACAGATAACAAGACTATCATTAGATGTTTCCCTACTAAGTCTGGCATTTTATGTGCATTATTCTCCTTATTCGTCACAGCAACATCACAATAGGTACATATTCTTCACATTTTAGAGTTAAGAAACTGAAACCACAAAGTTTTGTTATCACACTCAGAGTTATTTCACTTCCCTATGCTGTTTCATGTAAGTCAGTAGGAAAAAAAATGGTTTTGTCAATATAAGACAGACGAGATGGTAGCTTCATGGAAAAAGAATTAACTGTACTTTGTAAGAGATTTAATTTAAATACAGAGATCCCATAGCAAGAAGGTAAGCAAGAAAGTAGCATAGTATTAACAGGCTGGAAAGGAGGCAAAGAACAGTAGATGATTCCAGGATGTGAAATGCAGATGAACAGTGTAAAAATTATTAACAGATGAGAATGATTAAAAAAATTTTTTTTTTTTGCTTTTTGGGTCACACCCGGCAATGCTTAGGGGTTACTCCCGGTTCTGCACTCAGGAATTACCCCTGGCGGTGCTCAGGGGACCATATGGGATGCTGGGAATCAAACCCGGGTCGGCTGCGTGCAAGGCAAACACCCTACCCGCTGTGCTATTGCTCCAGCCCCCGAGAATGATTAAAAATTTAAACAAAAATCACTAGCATGATAAAACAACTGAGACAAGGATGGAAAAAGGCAACAAAGACTAGAGTCTTGGTGAATTGCTCTATTTTTATATTATTGCCTAAAATTACTCAACTATGGAAGTCCAGATTCTAGGTATTTGTACATACTTACATTTAGATGGTCCTGCCTTTGAGTCTTCCTAATTTTCTCTAATATTGCCAAGTTTTCTTTTTCAATTCCTTCATCCTCTGACTTTTTTCCACTAAAAGGTTCTTCTTCCTTCATCTCATAGTGATCCAAGTCTACTAAATCCTAAAATATATTTATTATGTTATTCTAAGTTATGCCAAAGTTAAATTATTCTTAACTCAACAGTGAATGTGATGGGATGATACATATATTTTGTGGGGAGGGGGAAAAGTTCTTTCCTATTCGATCCAAAAGGTTTCTTGCTTTCGTGTTTTATTTAAAAGCCAGCATCTGGGATATGGAGTCCAGAAGTTACTGTGCTTGCCGTGCATGAGAACAAACCCAGTTCAAACCCCCAGTACCACCTTAGGTGCCCTAAGCACCACCAGGACGGATTCCTGAACATGGTCTGAGCACTGTTAAACGTGGCCCAAAAATGCCAGAATCTGTGAGACTGGGGATAGTGCAGCAGCAGAGCACCTACCTTATAGGCATTAAACCACAAGTTCAAACCCCAGCAGGGCCCCACATGCCCCCAAACACTTGCCAGTTACGATACCTGGCACCCGTGTACAATATTCATTGTATCGCAACCAAGCACGCTCAAGCACAACTGAGTGTACAATAAAACTAAAGTGCTTGGAGCACAGAGAACCCCATAACCACCATAACCAGCGTGGGAGAAGCACTGCAGCCAAGTGCATGAGCAGCAGCCATTCAAATAACAACAGGGAGGAAGACACATAAAAACAACAACAAACCAAAGCCAGAATCTGCAGTAAAGTCACAGCTGATACCAAATGAGCCATCTTTCAAGTTACCAGCTAAAAGGAAATATCTAATCAGTATAGAACCCGGTATCTCAAACTTTAAGTGCTGAGACACTGCACTTAAAACACTGCAGGAGTTAACTTGACTTATAGAAATCTACTGGGCCAGAGCAATAGAACAGCGGGGAGGGCACTCGCCTTACAAATAGCTGACCCAGGTTTGATCCCTGGTACCCCGTGTGGTCCCCTGAGCACTGCCAGGTGAGACCCAAAAACCAATAAAAGAAAAAAATATATAACCTGAAGTGTGAGCACAAGTTTAGACATAAAAATACTTATTCCATATAAAGAAACAAAATATGAGATTAATACCCAAGAATAACTGAGATCAACACCAGGAGGATTACTCCATAGCTTAGAGGCCAGTCGGGCATTCTAGGGGAAAGGGCAGCTCAGATAGAGAAGGGACTACCAAATAAAGGGTGTTGGGAGGATCCTCCCAGGAGGGGAGATGCATGTTGAAGGTAGACTATGGACTGAACATGTTTGCCACTCAAAGCCTCTTTTGCAGACCACAACACCCAAAAGGAGAGAGAGAACACAGGGAATTGCCCTGCCACAGAGGCAGGGTGAGATGGGAGGGATGGGGGTGGGAGGGATGTTATCCATGGTGGTGGAAAATGGGCACTGGTGGAGGGATGGGTATTTGATCATTGTATAATCAAAACCCAAGCACAAAAAATTGTAAATCTACAACTGTACCTCATGGTGTTTCACTAAAAATAATAATTAAAAAAATCATGCATAAAAAAATACTTATTCAAACCTTCCAAATACATCATATGAGTAAAGTAAAAGTAAAGTAAAGTAAAGGCCCTCCCGTTGATCATCGATTTGCTCGAGCGGGCCCAGTAACGTCTCCATTGGAGACTTTGTTGTTACTGTGTCTGGCATATCGAATACTCTTGGTAGCTAGTTAATTCAATTACATGATAAACTCATGAAGACCACTAAAATTGTAACAAAGCATACGATTCCTTCTGAATATGGATTATAATGGATTTATAATGGATTTTATAATGGATTCTGAATATTAAGAGACCCTCAACTTGCCCCCCAAAACACATAAAGACACTAGAAAGACATACTGAACATTAGCTATCAATACATTTAGTTCATTTTCTTCTTTAAGTGTTTTCATTAATGAGTACCTATTGATTTTTATAATAGAAAATAATTAGAAACATTACTTGAGGAAGGAGGATCGCTCAAAGGGCTACAGCACATGCAGAGCCCCAAATTCAATTCCAGGTTATCACATGGCCACCAGGACCACTGGGTGCCCCCCTTCAAAAAAATAATTTCAATAAATCCTACATCAACATCCTTCATCACTGATCATTCACCTCCATCCTTCCCTATATCATCTGCTTTTCAAGTCCATGCAGATGTCCGGAGAGATAGTACAGAAGGTGAAACACTAGCCTCACACATGCTCAAGGCCAGTTTGCTCCGTGGGGCAAACTGCCAAACCTCTGCGGAAGAAAATGATTCTATGTAGACTTTCTAAATCCGTGCCTTTTCTATTACTTTACTTCTCTTTACTTCAATCTCCAAAATCTCCAAGAGGGTTACTATCTCCAAGCTGCAAGCAGATTAATTCATTAATACCTATTTTGGGGGTTTTATTCTGGGAGACCATACCCAGCTGTACTCAGGGCTTACTCCTGGATCTGTGCGCAGGCAACAACATGTGATGCTCAACTGGCAGCTTGCAAGGCAAAACCTTACCCACTGTGTTTTCTTCCTGAGTAATTCAATGTATTTTCTCCCAGACTAATTCCCCCCCGCTAATTCACTGCATTCTAGACCAGGCTAATGAACATCTCCATCCAGACGTCCTAGTCTTTTTCTTGGTCTGCCAGGTCTTTGACCCCAGTTCCAGTGCTTTATCTGAGGTTCTCTGTGCTTCATGAAGCTCCCTCCCTTTATGTGCACCCCTCAAGTGGTACATCCTGAGCTTGTTCTTTTCAAAGTCTAATAAATGCCCTTGGCCTGTATGCCTCTACTTCCCTACCTTCAACCTCAAATACATCCCAACCTACAAAACTGCTTCTCTTGTATATTCCTATCAACAAACACACCAAATAAAAACATACTTTCTCATTGCATTCAAGATTTTTAGCTTTTTGATTTTTTTTTTTAATTTCTGGGCCCCACCCACTGGTGCTCAGTAACTCCTCTTGGCTCTGAACTCAGGGATCACTCCAGTGGTGCTCAGGAGACCATATATAAAGTCAGAGACCAAACACATGCAAAGAAAGCACTTGACCCTATACTTGCAGCCTCTCTATTTGCCTTTTCTAATCGGCCTTACTTTCAATGACTCCAACACATCAATCTTTTCCCAAAAGGCTAGCATCCAAACATACAGGGCCAGAGCTGTTGGATTCGTTTTTATATCATTTTGGCTACCTACTCTATCTTCTTTTCACATACCCGAATCTGACACTTCCAAAGTAAAACTGCCTACCTTTCTATATTCCTTAAATGCCACGGTTCTTTCTCTGTATTATCTTTTGAAAATATGAAAGGGTAAAAAAGAGTATCTGAACTCCCTTTACTGTGTACAGAAGCTATGGAAAATGTTTACGTGCAGTTATTTCCACCAAGTTAAAACTGCTTGAAAATTCACGGTCCCGATAAGAGAAAGAAAACATGGAGCGTGCGGGATCCCGGAGGAAAAAAAAAAAGAAAAAACAGGTTCCAAAAAGAGCCAAGTTCACCCGCAAGTTCCAGATGGAGTAGGCGCCGCATCTCGCCTTCCCCAGATGGAACCCCGGTGACCAGAAGCCTCTACAAACACAGCTCGAGTATGCGGGAACGAGGACTTTTTCTCAAATCTTCCGAACTACACCTCCCAGGTAACCTCTGATTCCGGAAGTCATGCCCACAGCCCGCCCCCCAGCGCCATCTTTGAAGCCGTAAGCATAAGAGAAAGAACACATGGAGCGTGCGGGATCCCGGAGGAAAAAAAAAAAGAAAAAACAGGTTCCAAAAAGAGCCAAGTTCACCCGCAAGTTCCAGATGGAGTAGGCGCCGCATCTCGCCTTCCCCAGATGGAACCCCGGTGACCAGAAGCCTCTACAAACACAGCTCGAGTATGCGGGAACGAGGACTTTTTCTCAAAACCGCGCGGCCGCTTACGCGGCCGCGCGACATCTCTCTATATACAAAGTGATCAATGAGAAGTAAACCACCCAATCTTTCTCCCTGAAAGTCAGAGTTAAGTTTGGAGCACGGCCACAGCCCCAGAAACACAAGGACTTAATGCAGAACCCAGCAGCTTAGAGCAGAAAAGTGAAAGGACTATGCGTTAATCCAGGCCATCAAGTCTGCCGGAGGGGAAAGGGTGTTGCCCCATTCGCCCTCTCTTCTCTGGAAAGAAGGATGGCGGCCGCATGGGAGCCGTGTGGACAGCAGGTATGAGCCGGGGGTGTGGGGGCGACTAAAACCTCATGGGAAGGGGGGCGTTCCGGTCCGTCCTTCACGCCCTACCGAGGTCACCAGTTGCCCCCCACGAGCGGCTCTCCAGCACGGCCACAGCCCCAGAAGCACAAGGGCTTAATGCAGAACCCAGCAGCTTGGAGCAGAAAAGTGAAAGGACTATGCGTTAATCCAGGCAATCATTTCTGCCCAGAGGGGAAAGGGTGTTGCTCCCTTCCGCCCTCCTCCCTCTGGAAAGAAAGATGGCGGCCACATGGGAGCCTTGTGGACAGCAGGTATGAGCCGGGGGTGTGGGGGCGACAAAAACCTCATGGGAAGGGGGGCGTTCCGGTCCATCCTTCACGCCCTACCGAGGTCACCAGTCGCCCCCCACGAGCGGCTCTCCAGCACAGCCACGGCCCCAGAAGCACAAGGACTTAATGCAGAACCCAGCAGCTTGGAGCAGAAAAGTGAACGGACTATGCATTGACCCAGGCCATCAAGTCTGCCAGAGGGGAAAGGGTGTTGCCCCATTCGCCCTCTCCTCTCTGGAAAGAAAGATGGCGGCCACATGGGAGCCTTGTGGACAGCAGGTATGAGCCGGGGGTGTGGGGGCGACTAAAACCTCATGGGAAGGGGGGCGTTCCGGTCCGTCCTTCACGCCCTACCGAGGTCACCAGTTGCCCCCCACGAGCGGCTCTCCAGCACGGCCACAGCCCCAGAAGCACAAGGGCTTAATGCAGAACCCAGCAGCTTGGAGCAGAAAAGTGAAAGGACTATGCGTTAATCCAGGCAATCATTTCTGCCCAGAGGGGAAAGGGTGTTGCTCCCTTCCGCCCTCCTCCCTCTGGAAAGAAAGATGGCGGCCACATGGGAGCCTTGTGGACAGCAGGTATGAGCCGGGGGTGTGGGGGCGACTAAAACTTCATGGGAAGGGGGGCGTTCCGGTCCGTCCTTCACGCCCTACCGAGGTCGCCAGTTGCCCCCCACGAGCGGCTCTCCAGCACGGCCACGGCCCCAGAAGCACAAGGACTTAATGCAGAACCCAGCAGCTTGGAGCAGAAAAGTGAACGGACTATGCATTGATCCAGGCCATCAAGTCTGCCGGAGGGGAAAGGGTGTTGCCCCATTCGCCCTCTCCTCTCTGGAAAGAAAGATGGCGGCCACATGGGAGCCTTGTGGACAGCAGGTATGAGCCGGGGGAGTGGGGACGACTAAAACCTCATGGGTCGGGGGGCGTTCCGGTCCATCCTTCACGCCCTACCGAGGTCACCAGTTGCCCCCCACGAGCGGCTCTCCAGCACGGCCATGGCCCCAGAAGCACAAGGACTTAATGCAGAACCCAGCAGCTTGGAGCAGAAAAGTGAATGGACTATGCATTGATCCAGCCCATCAAGTCTGCCGGAGGGGAAAGGGTGTTGCCCCATTCGCCCTCTCCTCTCTGGAAAGAAAGATGGCGGCCACATGGGAGCCTTGTGGACAGCAGGTATGAGCCGGGAGTGTGGGGGCGACTAAAACCTCATGGGAAGGGGGGCGTTTCGCTCCGCCCTTCACGCCCTACCGAGGCCACCAGTTGCCCCCCACGAGCGGCTCTCCAGCACGGCCACGACTCCAGAACACAGAAACCAATTTCTTAACTATCTGACTTTCAGTAGAAATACTTCCAGGGTCAATAAGTAAAATAGCAGAAATCCAAAACCAACATTTAATTCTTGAACCCAGCTGGAGAAAGCAAATCACTTCACAATGCTTTTTCAGCATGTCTGATTTGGGGGGGGGGGGGGGGGTAAACTCTAAATAATAGTGGTGAATCTTTTATTGAAACAATCTAATCAAAGCGGATAGAGTATTAACTAGAATTCATCTGCCTCACAGGGACGGGGAGGGGTGGGGGATGGGGTTTTATTGGGGTTCTTCATGGGAAAAAATAAGTATTGGTAAAGGGAAATGTGTTTGATATTTGCATGACTGAGACATAAACCTGAAAGCTTTGTAACCTTTCCCACAGTGATTCAATAAATAAATAAAAAAAAAAAAAAAAAAAAAAAAAAAAAAACATAGAAGAGCTGCTCTTAAAGCTAAAAAAAAAAAAAAAAAAAAAAAAGAAAATTCACGGTCCCAAGAAGTCATTCCAATGGACAATCTTTAAGATTAGGCTTGCTCTTCAAGCCTGTGTTTTCCCTTGTATAGGAATCTTGCTTGCCTGTCTCTGTGTTTTTTTGCTTGTCTATTTCTACTCTGGAGAAGCCTGTGTTCTCTCTTCAACACATAGTTCTCACTTTCCCCTTATATCTTTCTGAATAAGTTTCAATAAAAACTATCTCACTTCGCTAAAAAAAAAAAAATTTCAGGTCTGGAGCGATTGAGTACAGAGTAGGGCACTTGCTTTGCATGTTTGATCTCTGACACCAATAATTAAGGTCTCCCGAGTACCACCAGGAGTGACCCCTGAGCACAGCCAGGAGTAAGCCCTAAGCACCACTGCATGTGGCCCAAAAATAAATTATTTTACTTTCAAATTCTCAAAACAGAACAAAGCAAACCAGAGTACAACTAAACTACTCAACATGAACACTGTTCATAATGATCACTGAAAAATCACTAAAATATGAAAAATTAGGTATTTGGCAGCTAGACATATGGTTCAAATGGCTCTGATTCCACAGCAGACTGAGCCCCCACCCTACCACTTACCCCCACCTTTCCACCCCTGTCTGTCTGCCCCCACACCAGGCATGGCAGTTCCAGCACTGCTGGAAATAACCCCTACGACTGTAAATTTGTAATGAAAGTTATACAAAATGTTGTTCTTTTTATTTTTATTTTTTTGGCTTTTTGGGTCACACCCGGCGATGCTCAGGGGTTACTCCTGGCTTTGCACTCAGGAATCACTGCTGGCGGTGCTCGGGGGACCATATGGGATGCTGGGAATCGAACCTGGGTCGACCGCATGCAAGGCAAACGCCCTACCCGCTGTGCTATTGCTCCAGACCCCATAAAATGTTGTTCTTGCATGATATACTTACTTCAGCCATGTCTTCCTCTTCCTCCTCTTCTGAAGTCACTTCATCTGTTGTCCTAATCTGAAAAGGACAAAGAATTTGCCAGGGCTACACAGATCAAGCAAGTGCACAGTACTTAGATACGTTAGGAGACTTTAAGCACAAGCCATCAATCATCTGTCACTACGGTTTCACCAGCAAAGAGTAGATTAAAGTTAAAGTATCTTTTAAATCCAGTTTTGAGGAAATAAATTGCCTTGAACCCAGATTTGCAAGAAGCATTAAAAGAGCTTCTTTAAATGACAGAAAAAACTTCCCAACATGTAGTACTAAGTATGGAACTCACTAATAGTGCATATGATCATCCTCTACTATATTAAGGGTTAAAAACAAAGCAATCAATCATCAAATGAATTTTTATTGATTTATTTCCTGATAATTCCATCTGCCATTCCTTTATTTTGTTGGACCAAATAACATAAAATAAATTTCTTATATGCCTGCCAAGGGGGCAGGAGTAGAAGGGAATCTAGGGATATGGGTGAAGGGAAGGGGACACTGGTGGGACTGATACTGGAAAATTATATGCTTATAACAACTTTGTAAACCATGATGGCTTCATAAAAAAATGTTTTAGTTTTGACAAATACCAAATTTTTAAAATAAACTATTTTAAATAATTTTAATAGATTTCTTAATAATTTGTTATATAAAGTACAAACAAAAAAGGATGCTAATCATTATGTAACTTAAAATAAAATATTTTACACAATGATGTATGTGAGGTCAATGACTTTTTGCTTAAATTGCAAACCACAGATTTCTTAAAATATTTACCTCTCATCCTTGGAAAACCTGAATCTTTCCATAAATCCAACTGCCTTACATTGAGAAAGATTGATACAGATACTGAAGGAACAGACACTTTACAAAAACTAAAATTATAAAAATGATCATTTCACTTAAAAGAGTTTTCTTTTAGACATTGTTTATGGTAGAATACTTCTTGCCACAAGACACAATGTCCACTCATCAATCTTAGGAGGGGTGCTAGGATGGGCTTTTAAACCTTAACAGAATTAAAAAGACAAGATTCCTGGACCAAGGCATAGTTTGAGACATAGGATATGATGAATTTTTCTTTCCAGAAAGTCTTTCTGTATTTATCCCAGCAGAGTTGATAAAGATCACTTTCATATAGGAAATTTATCTTACTGGCTTCTTGGTGTAGTAGTTGTCAGAATCAGAAAAAAGGCAGAAGTATTTTTTAAAGAAGCAGCAAAAATCTCGAACTCATCTCTTCCTATGATCGGGAGTTAGGATGAGTGCCTACCAGCCCCTCCCCACTCACCCACTACAGGTGAACCACAGGAGCGTAAGTCAGAGCAGGGAGCCCACGGGACAGAAAACATGACTCTTGCTGAGAACACTATTATCAGCGGTGTATGTCCTCAGTTATGTACATAGGCACAGTTATATATATATGTGATATATATACATACATATACATATATAGTTATCTTCTCTGACCAGAAGAGAAAGGAAAGAAAAAAACCACATTCACTTCTTGAAGAATCAAGGCTGGGGAGCTGGAAAGACAGTTCAAAGGGGTGAGTCCATGTACTATTCGCAGATGGCAAGATTCAATCCCCAACACAACATGGTCTCCTGAGTACCACTAGAGTGACCCCAGAGCACAGAGCTGGGAGCAATCCTGGACTCCCAGAAATGAAAAGTAATCAGGTCCAGGGAGAGAACCCAACGAGCCGGTATGTACACCCTTGCATGTAGGAGGCCCAGGATTAAACCCTGGCACAAGTTACCCCAAACACTGCAAGGAGAAACCGGCAACCCCAAGCACAGAGTCACAAGTGTAACAAAAAACAAAAACAAAAAAACACTAGTTTTGAATTTTCCACCTTAACAATAAATACTGAAAAGATAAAAGCGTCCATCCTTTTATGGCTTGATAATGTGGAAGAGGGTCTATTACTACCGAGGGTCTATTCACATTTACACCATCAGCACAGTGCCTGTATCCGGATTCACACACCAATGGAGCCCTCCCTGGCTCCTCCCTATGCACTGTATGCAGACAGTTGAATGAACGGCAAAAGCAGACACTTAACTATTCGAAAAATGTTCTTCATATACACCCCCCACAAATCCTTTGTAGGAAAAAAAAAAGCGACAAAGAAAACAGAGGGCATTATTTAGGAATGTATTTGAGACCATGGAAAACAAAGGGCATAAAGCAGAGCCAGTCACACTGGTGGTTAAGTCTAAGTTCTTGCTGAGAGGCAGCTGGCCAGAGAATAAGGCTACAGACCATATTCTCTGACTAGAGTGAAAAAAGAGTGAAAATAGCCCAAAGCTATCCAAAACATTTTTAAAAACTTGTTTCTAAATAACTCATGAATGAACTGATTTCGAAGTAATCCAAATCATGAGTACCAAGACATGCTTGTTCAGGTGCAATATGAAATACAAATGATTGGGCTAACCATGCTCCAAAAACCAAACCAACAGACCCAGATGTCAGTAAGCAGTCAAATAAACGCTGTGACACATTTAAATAGGGGAACTACAATAATGGGAAGAACTAGTTACAACAGAATAAACTTAACATCCAATCCTGAAAAAAGAAAATATATATCTATATATAAAATACATAGATATATATTAAGAGAGAGATACTAGAAATAGCCTCTAATATGAAGTGCAAAAGCAGGCAATAGTATAGCAGGAAGGGCACTTGCCTTGCACGTGGCTGACCCAGGTTTGATTCCCTGCAACCCATATGGTTCCCTGAGCCCCGCCGAAGAGATATCTGAGTCCAGAGCCAGGAGTAAGCCCTGAGCACAGGCAAGTGTGGCCAAAATAAAAAATCAGAAACATTAAACACTATTGTTGAGGGATACATAAATAGGTGCTAAAACTAAAAATATATATATTGGAAGGTGAGCATATAGGGCACAGTATCGAGAAGGAGCCTGCACATGTTTCTGTACTGTTAACCAATGTCCTAATACCTGGATAAGTAGGGGGAATCCCCAGGTACTTACTACAAATACTTGTTACACTAAACCTAGATGTGTATGTTTTCAATACACAGTATTTAAAACATTCTTGCAGCTATATACAACAAAAATAGTACTTTAAAAATGAAATCAAACTACTTAGAAACTATTTTATAAACTTATAATCTATTTTAATAAGTTATGTCATATTTTAGCACCCATACAATAAAGCCAAATTGCACCCAGAAGTAGTGTATACTTTTACATATTTGTTTAAAAAGCAACTTAGGGGCCCAAGAGAAAATACAGGGGATAAGGCACTTGCTTTCCATACAGAACCGTATTTAAACCCTGGCACCATATACTGAGTAGCCATTAGTATACTCTAAGCACAACTGAGTATGGCCCAAACCCTCCCTCTCCTCCAAAATAAGACCAAAAAAAAATTTTACAAATTACGATCTAATAAATGAGAAAGGCAAAATAAAGATAATTAAAACATTAGCAAAAATGGAAAAGTTAGAGTTAAAAGAGTAAGGCACCAACAGCCCTGCTCCAGAGACACAGCAGCGAGTCCCCAAAGACACCACAGCACAGAGCTCTCTGGGCCCCATACCAAGTCAATTTCACCAGGGCACCTTAGATGGGGCAGGTGCAGTCTCCCCACATACTCCAGATGGAATGCCAGTGACCAAGAGCTTCCACAAGCAAGGCCCCGGTATGCGGGTTCCAAGACTAAATCTCCAGGCTGCAAGGCAGCAGAGGAACCAGGCTGTCCCTCCCCCGCATAGGGGCCTGACTGCGACACCCACAATCTGCCTCGGGAGCCATCTTAGTGCACCAAAAGCCAAGGTCCAGAGATTCCCAACTAAATCCCAAAATGGATTTAGTGTTTTAGAGACAGAGATCTCTAGAAACCCAACCATTTACAATTTAGAATCCCAGACGCGCGCAGCCACTTTTGTGGCCATGCAATCTCTCATGATATTCAAAATGAGCAATGGAAAATAAATTGTCTAACGTCTGCACCTGGCAGGTAAGCTTGAATGGTGGTGGGAAAATTCGAGCAAAACATAATACCCCAAAGTAGAAGGTACTGGGGAGATTGTCTGCCATAGAGGGAGGGTGAGGACTGGGATGGGGGCAGCGGGGGGAATACTGGAGACACTGGTGGTGGAAAATGCGCACTGTTGGAGGGATAGGTGTTCGATCATTATATGGCTGAATCTCAAACATGAAAGTTTCATAACTGTCTCACGGTGCTTCAATAAAATAAAAAAATAAATTAAAAAAAGAATTAAGAGTAAAATAGATTTTAAAATAATCCTTTCAAATAGGGAGCACCAAATACAGGGTGTTGGGAGGATCCTCCCAGGATGGGAGAAGTATGCTGAATGTAGACTATAGACCAAACATGATTGCCACTCAATGCCTCTTTTGCAAACCACAACACCCAAAAGGAGAGAGAGAACAAAAAGGAATGCCCGGCCACAGAGGCAGGGTGGGATGGGGGGTGGGAGGGACACTGGGATCCATGGTGGTGGAAAATGGGCACTGGTAGAGGGATGGGTATTTGATCATTGTATAACTGAAACCCAAGCACAAAAATTTGCAAGTCTACAACTGTACCTCATGATGTCTCACTATTAAAAAAAAATCCCTTCAAAATAGTAAAATAGATTAGCCTGGCATGTAACCATGAAAATAACTTAAAAATGAAAAGGTCTTAGTGTTTTGAAGACTAGCCATATTGTTTACCAAAAAGGCTGAACTCGTTGGCATTCCTACCAGCAGTGAATGAGAGTCCCTTTCTCCTCCTATTTACACCAGCACTGGTTGTTCTTATTCCTCTGAATGCGTGCCAGTCTCTGTGGTGTGAGATGATATCTCATTTTTGTTTTGATTTTCATCTCCCTGATGATTAGTGATGTAGAGCATTTTTATGTGCCTTTTGACCATTCAGATTTCTTCTTGGAGAAAGTTTCTGTTCATTTCTTCTCGCCATTTTTTGATGGGGTTGAATTTCTCTTCTTGAAAAGTTCTACCAATGCTTTGTGTATC